AAATTGCTTCCATTTCTGTCGCTGAGAGGGGGAGGATGGCTTCCTTAGTAATTGACCTGCTCTCCTACACAAGAACAGAAGCTATGTGGAGTGTCCGTGTGAGCTCTTCATAGCTCCCATCTCAGATGGGTATATGAATTTGAGTTCAAATCAGTGCCTAGTCATTTACCCCAGACCGGAAGTAACATCTCACCTATAACCTACTTTTCTCCATTTCCAAATGCCAGAGCTATTCAAGGGGCTACCCTATTGCTGTTGTTTATTGAATGGATAAGGACAGTTGGATTATACATCAGTCATTTGAAAACATTAAGAAGAAGGATTTTTAAATAGGACCAAGCAACAGCTCGCCTGATATGATCTGAGCAGTTATAAACTCAAACACAGTTGTGATGTTAAATTATCTGATTTGACAAGTCATTTTGATGTGTGATTCCAAGACATAAACTAGCAGCTGGCTGTTTCGAATGAAGAGAGCAGCAGTCCTGTGCCACCAGAAATGCTAGAAACATTAGATCCACCCGCTGCACGTGCACATCCTCCTTCAGCTCTTTGCAGTAATCCCCTAATTTCTTTTAACTCAGAACCGACTTCAGTTATGGGTGGGTGTGCTGGCCGGGGGACTCTGGGATGTCTGCTGGCAGCATTGCTGTTGGTTCACTCACTCTTTCTCTGTCTTCATTTTTGCATGCCACTGCTCCTGCCTTCTTGCAGCCACAGTCAAAGCGGCAGAGGCACGGGAAGGTATGGTCATATCACTCTGTTGGAACGCCCCTGTGTCTGTGCGCCAGTCGCAAAGCTTCATCAGCATTTCCAGACTCACTTGTATCTGCAGAACTGTGACAGAAAAGGAGAGGATGGCCCTCAGTGTGGCCACGTGTCAGCCTGCTTCTCAGATGACCTTCACACAGTTTATGTCCTCTGTAAACCTATCAGTTTTATGTAATGACTGAAGCTCCTGGTAATGACAGAAGTCAAATGATTTAAGTATTTCTTTCTTTATTAAGAGAATTAGATAGGCTTTGTTACCTAATGACTCAAAAAGTTAGCAGGCATAGAGGCAAAACAGATAGAACTTAGATGCTTCATTTCTGAAGTTGACCTAACTGAAGTTGCATTCAGACTAAAGTAGCTTTGTTTCTATGGGGACACATTTTAAGTAATACCATTAGAATTGATAAACCTGTATTGTAGATTTAGTAATTTTATTAAATAAGGTGATTCTTTGACAATTCAAAATTGAGTCAGGCTGGAATTATAGCTCAGTGATAGAATGTTTGCCTAAGGTGTGTGAGGCCTGGGGTTCAATTTTCAATACCACAAGAAAAAAAATTCAAAGATGAATCAGATCGGCAGTATCTAGAAGCTGTACTGGTCTTATCCTATGTTCTGACTGTGAAGATAAAAAGCTGTCTTGAATAGATAGCTCTTGTCACTTCTGTGTGGTCAGGCTGATGCTTGTGCTTAAAGCAACCATCTGTGTGGTGTGCAAGGCTCTCCTGGTGCTGCCCTTTTCTAGAATTGAGCAGGTTTTTCTTAGGAAACTATTTCAAATGTGTGAAGGTTAATTAAGAGCTAATCTTTCTTGTCAAGTTTATTTCTGCCAGAATTTTTAATCTATGACTGTTTCTACTCACTGTGAGCTGTATGGAAGCAGTGGTTGTGGACAAGGCTGATTTAATCACGTGTTGCTTGTCACCAGACATGTGCTCTGTGCCGCCTTCCTGTGTGTTCCTAGGAGATTGCTGTTTGCTTAGAAACTTGATCTAAGCTCTTGACTTTGCCACCTCCCTGAGCACTTCCTTCCCCCTCTCTTGTTTCTCTGCAGCCATCAGAGGGTATCCACAGAAGATCCGAAGTTTTGAAGAAGCCCGAGGTCTAGACCGAATTAATGAGCGGATGCCACCCCGAAGAGAGGGTGGGCATCCTGATGGGCCAGTGAAGATGGTCCACTCACATGCTGCACGAAGGAGCGACCATGGAAAGAAAGCCCTGTAATGACTTGGAGCCCTGTGCAGCCCAGATGAGTTCCAACCCTGCGAACAAATCATATTTATTTATTATTGGAAATGAAACAGAAACAACTCAAACAACTTAAACTTGGAGGTGCATTTGTAATTCAGCCGCATTTATTCTGTAAGAAAGATGACCATTTTATAAATTCTTTTAATTTATGTTCAATATATATAAAAAGTACTTCTGTTTTGTTCCCCGCCCCCCTTGTGGATCTGATTGTTGTCAGTGAGTGAGTTTGTGTGTGTGTGTGTGTGTGTGTGTGTGTGTGTGTGTTGAACTTTGTTCTGTAAAGGAGACTGTCCCCTAGTAAAAAGGGACTTGAAAGCCTCAACCCTGGGTTTCTGACTCAGGCTACTACTTCTCTTGTCTGGGGAGGGGATTTCTTTCATTGAGGACTTGTAATTTTACTAACTCCAACATGTCTTTTCATTCCCCTTTCTGTTTTGGTACCGTTGAAGAAAACCTCAGGTGGCAGTAGCTAAAACTGCCTCTGTTCTGAGGGAAACTTGAACTTCCGAGAGAATAACTTAAATCTAATGATTTTAAGATCCAGGTGGGACTGGCTTCTGAAATAATTTACTTTTGGACTCTTCAGTTCCATGAGTGTGGGGTTTTTGTTTGTTTGTGATACACAGAATTGAACCCATGCCTCACACATGGGTTCACACTCTGCCACTCAGCTGTACCTCTACTCATAGGTTTGTTTTAATGGTTCTAATACAGTTCCTCCTAAAAAGTGAGATGGCTAAGGCTGATGACTTGAGTTTGATCCCCAGGATCCACATGGTGGAAGGAGAGTAATCCTCTTTCCAATCACAGAAGTGATCCTCCGACTGCCACACAAACACTGTGGAACACACATAAATAAAAAATTAATAATAATACTGAGAAGTTTTCTTAGAATTGTTTAAAGTCCCCTTGGAAGTTTAAGGAAGATTTTCAAAGTTTCAATTGTTGCAAGATTCTTTTGTTTTTATTTTTTAATCCCAGATGAATCCATCTGCAAAGGAAGTTGAGTATTTTCTGAAGGCCTGCAGGATATGCATCACTGAGACCTGGCCTTGCCCTTCTGTGTCATCGCATCAGGCATGCATCTGTTTTTCCCAGCATGCGTCTGTTTTCCACTGTCAGTATGTCTAAAAGGACCTTATTAGATGGTGGAGTGGGGTCCTTGTAAACTGACCCTTGTAAAAGGGATCAGATGAGTGAAGGCTTCTGGTCTAAAGTTAATTAGAAAACTAGCTTCTAGTCACATCCCTCAGGGGTCATTAGGCTGAACTCTGTGGAACCTTGGTTAGCATAATTTGGAATCCAAAATTAGAGATTGAGATATAATTGCCCCTTAGATTTTTACTTTTTTGACACAGAGTCTAGCTATGTAGGCCTGGCTGGCCTGGAACCCACAGAACTCCACCGGCTTCTGCCTTGTGAGTGCAGGCATTACAGATCTGCCCCACCACTCCTGACCTCCCAAGTGCAGGCATTACAGGTCTGCCCCACCACTCCTGACCTCCCAAGTGCAGGCATTACAGGTCTGCCCCACCACTCCTGACTAGCTTGCTGGGCTTTTTTTCTTTAAACTTTTTAAAGAATGTCCTAACTTAGAAGATTTGGGGTTGCTTGGGCTTCACCTTTAGCTCCATCTGATCACAGGAACCATGTCACAGCATCACTGGTGAGCTCTATGATGACTTGGATTCTGAGCCTCTTGGTCAAAGCTTGTAGAACTCTTTGATGTCATGTGGGAATCTAGCATTAAAGTAAGTATTTCAGACAATAATATAGCACATTGGGAGATTTGGGAAAAGCATAAAAACAACAGTAATTTTTACTTTTTTAAAAAAATTGATTTTCATGAGGAAAATGAAAGGTTAGCTTGTTTATCTGTGGGATTTTTTGGATTTATTTTATTTTATGTGAATGAGTGTTTTGCCTGAATATATGCATGCGTGCCATATGTGTGCCTGGTGCACAAAAGGTCAGAAGAGGATGCCCCAGGTTATCTGAAGCCTCGAACTAGAGTTAAAGATGGTTGTGAGCCACCTTACGGGTGCTGGGTTTGAACCTAGTACTCTGCCAGAGCAATAAGTGCTCTAAACCACTGAGCCACCTCTCCAGCCCCCATCTGTTTTTGTTTGTTTGTTTTTTTTAATACCTTTGCTAACAGTTTATTCATGACAGAGATCAAAGTATTTTTGGGAGTTGTAGTGTTCCTGCACAGATTGCTTTGTTCTTAAAAGAGAGCCAAGTGTGATGGCACAGGTCCACAATCCCAGCATTGGGAATGTGGAGGCAGAAAGATCAGTAAGTTCAAGGTAATCCTTAGCTGTCTAATGCATTCCAAGGCCAAGGGACAGTGGGATGGCTCAGCAGGGAAAGGTCTTGTCTTCAAGCCTATGATCAGACTGGTGCCCACTGGTGAAGAGACAGCCAGCTTCTGCTAGTTGGCCTCTCGGCTCCATATGTGCTATTTTGTGCTTATACAAAATAGGTAAATATAAAAAATGTTAATAAAAAATGGTGGCTGGACACCAGCTGGTGGTGGGACATGCATTTAATCCCAGCACTCAGGATCTCTCTGTGAGTTCCAGGCCAGCCTGGTCTACAGAATGAGTGCCAGACAGCCAGAGCTACACAGAGAAACTCGATCTTTAAAAACCAAAAAGAAAAAAAAAAAGTGGCTGGAGAAATGGTTCAGTAGTTAGGAACACTGACCTCTCTTCCGTAGGATCCAGGTTTAGTTCCCAGCACCCTTGCCGTTTGGCTCAATATTGCCTGTGACTCCAGCTCCAGGAGTTCTGATACCCTCATCTGGCCTCCACAGGCACTGCACACACATGTAGGAGCTCACATGTATACACATACTCTTTAAAAGAATGAAATTATTAAAAATGTGTATCTCAACCAGTCATGGTGGCACACACCTTTAATCCCAACACTTGGGAGGCAGAGGCAGGTGGATCTCTTTGAGTTCGAAGCCAGCCTGGTCTACAGAGCAAGTTCCAAGACAGCCAGGGCTACACAAGGAAACCCTGTCTCAAAAAAACAAGCAAACAAATAAAAAAATGAATTTGAGGCAACTTGTGCTAGACAAGCCCCTATCTTGATGGGAGGCAGGGATGAGGCATTGTGGAGGAAGACAGGGGAACTTAACTGTCCTGAAAGAATCCTCGCAGGAGGGAAGGAAAGGCCAGAGTAGCAGTCTTCTCTGGTTGTCCTTTCTTTGTACCTTATGCTTTTCTCTCCCAAATCCCAGAAAAGAGCCTTTCTTTGGAAACCCACCTACATAAGTCAGTCCTACAGTAGGTCCTGCTGTGACACACACACCACCGGTGAAGTGCCCTCTCTCCTAAGGATCCCTAGGACCCAACATCAGTTCACAGGCACACTGGACAGCCTTAGGAATATGTCGTAACAGCTGCTGTTTTCCTCACTTTAAACTTCGTTAGACGTTTGTTTTTAACATCTGAACAAATTCCCTCCTGGATGCCAACCTTAGGTTTGCCCTTGGACAGCTATTTCTGCTTAGGGCCACCACTCCGTTTTAACTGCTGGCGAAGTTCTACAGTGCTGGGGTGTTTGAAACCCTTGTGTTTTACTACATCTTTCCCCTATATTCTAAATATGCCAAAACACTTCCCTCTTTTTCGGTTTTCACATTAGGTCCACAGGGATCTTCTTTTTCAGAAACTTCTCCCATTCGGAGAAATTACAGTAACCACTTCTTAAAGCAGTTCTCTAGGAATGGCAGAGCCCTCCTTTGCAAACCTCTGAAGCAGCGTTTTAAAGTGGACACTCCACACAGAAAGGGCTTTCCAGCTGTGGTTAAATATACATGTATGAAACTTCACACTTACCAAAGACTAATTTTTAAATAGAAATTTAAAAATTTGTCAGACATAAAGGGAACATCCTTTTCAATCTCTGTGTTCTGATAAAATCTGAATAATACATGTGTGTGCATAGATGGTCTGTGTGTGTTTAGATGATCTGTGTGTGCTTAGATGATCTGTGTGTGTGTGTGCATAGATGGTCTGTGTGTGCTTAGTCTGAGTGCTTAGATGGTGTGTGGGTGTATGTGCTTAGATGGTCTGTGTGTGCATGTGCTGGGGTTGCTAACTAGTGTGTTACAATGTAAACAGCTTCTGTTTTCTTTGCAATCTCAAGGCAACAGATACCTCTTCTGTCACTAGATATTAACCATCAAAGTATATATGACTTGTCACATGACGATAGGGGGTGCTTGATGTGGCTCCTTGCCTAGGAACAGAGATGTCAGGGAATGCCAGCGTTGCTCCCATCTACCACTTTCTCTCTTTCATTGCCTTTTCTTTCCTTCCAGAGTAGCTTGCTGTTCAATAAAGCAAGTTTACCTCGCTAGCAAACACTTCTTTTCTTACCCTGACAACTTAGGAATGATTTCCTGACTCTTCAGAATTGGAAAAGAAAAACCCTCTTGTTTTGGTCAGTAGAAAATCATTTGATGACATTAAGGAGCAAAGGTAGAATTTCTGAAAATGGAGTAGCTCTTGAACCTTCGCATTATTCCTTAGTTACTTTTCTCCATGTGGCTTTCAAACACAAAGTCTGAGGCAGCTGGTGTATGTAAGAAAAATATCCTAAGTCATGTGAGATGCAGCTGGACTTCCTGCTTATAGCCATTGTGCAAGAGTTCTCCAGCCTTCAAATGAGGAAGCCCAGATCCCTTCCCTCTGCCTTATGTAAACCTTGTAGCTGATCTCCCAAGTATCGCCTGTATCATATCTATAAATGTCTATAAAGTTCACATTCTAGAGAATTAAATCTATGCTGGCCAATCTGAGTGACCACTCAGTTATACTAGTTTAAGAAAATCCTGCCCCACACTGTGGTTCATAGTTTCCTTCATATTAGTGATCATCGGTTTTTCTGCTCAATGTTTGTTTTGAAGATAATTTCCTAACCAGTAAACACTTGAGGTAGCATTCTAGAACCCCAGTATTTAACCTAGATGTTATGGTAACGGCAGAACCCAGGTTCTGCTTTCGGTTTTCCCTACCCAGGCAGAAAACAATTCCAGAGGAAGAGTGGACGTCGAGCCCAGTGTTGGGTATGAGGCTCCAGTTTGCTAGATTGTTTGTGGATTTAGCCATGGGGTCTGACCTCATCTGACAGCCACCCCATCCTTCCTGTAGTCTGTTAGACTGGTGTAAAGGGCAGCCAGGATGGGCCAGTGAGACACCAGCGAGGAAGCTTTGGGTCACACGGAGAAATCCCTTTCAGTCCTTGCCATGGTCACAAGCTCATAGGACAGCCGTAAGAAAGAACAGACGTGTGTAGAGAAGAAAGCTGGTCAGCCAAAGGACAGGGACAATGCTCTCGTCTTGGATGCCAGCAGTGAGCTGTGTTAACAATAGGGCTCTGTGCCACTGAGTTTGAGAGAGGGAACTACACGGCATTGGGACTGGGAGCTGTCCTGCCTCTATCTAGCCAGCCAAAGTGAATGGGGTCAGTGTTGGCTGCTTTCATCTATGCAGTCACAAAGGTAAAGATGATACTGAGGGCATATTCCCTCCTGGGAGGCCTTGACCTCGCGCCTCAGCAACCGTGGCAAGACGTGCTAAATAACACCTTTGTTTGAGCCAGGGTTATGCATCGTCAACGCTTTTATGCCAAGTCTAGGTGGTTTCAGATCAAGCAGCGAGGACGTGGACATGACCATCCCTCTGTGCAGCTCTGAAGTAGAGCCAAGCACGCTGCCTGCCTGTAAGTCCCTGCCATGTTCCCTTCGATCCTTTTCACAGTTTTCCAGGTCCCCCCTCCCTGTCCTTTTGGTTTTGGGGGGCTTATCAAAGTGAAGTGCCCATGATTAGAAACAGGCAACCAGAGATTGTGATTTGTGGTGGTAAGATGTGATCTGGATTGGGCACAGGAGGAAGCAAGAGGATCACGGCAAATTTGAGGCTAGCCTGGTCTCACAATGAATTCCAGGCTAGCCAGGGCTATATAATGAAAACCTGCATTGAAAACAAGAGAAAAAGAAGATGTGTTTTTATCTGTCCCCGAGCTTTTGTAAAGATGCCATCAGGAGCTCCTCGTATTTCCTTTCTCACAGTGTTCTAATCCGTAGCTCTTCTTCCTAATAGGAGTATCATCGACCTTCTCCTGGGTCGGTTCCTGGTCTTGCTGCCTAGGTGATGAGGTGGTCACACATGCCGATCTAGCTGGTGGCTCTCTGAATGATGGGCTATGTGCTTGTGCTTAGAGGTTACCCACATTCTCTTGCTTTCTGTTATGGAAATGTTGTGGAAATGTTACTTATCAACAGGAGACATTAATAAGTCTTTGTGAATAATAAAAGTTTTGTAAGAACTTTCTTACTGTATATTGGAAGTCATCTTTAAGATTAAAAGAAGAAAATGCCCTTAAAATTGAAGAAAACCTTCACTGACTCCCTGTGTCTTTATTTCCTTGATTTCTTAGTAGAGGGACTTATTGTTTGGCTCTGACCCAGGTATTAACTCCAGAGGCAAGGGAAAGCCTGGTTTCTGATGTCTGGTCTGGTCTCTAACAACGCCAATGAAATCCTTTCCCAATAAATGACCTCCCCTCCCCCAGCCACCGTTATTGCTCTGATGGCCTCTTCCGAGTTTCTGCTTTTCCCCACATAAATCCCCTTCCCTTGCCTCTTGCCCCCTCCTGGAATTATGCCCACAACTAACTTCTGCTCTAGTCCCTGATTCTTCTGTGACCTCTCCCGCAGAGGCCCCTCCTTGAAGTTTGAAAAAGAAAAATGATAACCCAGAAAACAGTCTTTACAAAGCACACAAAAAAAATATGTTTTGCAATAGTCATTTAATAAGTGTGCATATGATCTTAACCATAGACACCATAGATTAACCATAGATTCCAGCCTGGGAAAAGTCAGAGGCCAGAAAGAAGTTGATGGAGCGTTGTAATACCAAGCTTAGGAGGACCAGACCAGCCTTGGAGTCCTCTGAAAAGAACATAGATCCCAAGGGGCTGTGAATGCACAAGAGCGGATAAGCATCACTGCCCAGCTCGGGGCTGGAGATAGGGAAAGCCTGGGGCCCCGGAGAGGTGGAAAGGCTAAATCTAGGTCTACTGGACCCAAATTGCAACATTGACATCAAATACAGCCACAGTGTGCAATTTTGAGACCAGAAAAATGAGCCCAGATTTTTTAACTGCACAAGAGCCAAGTGAACATTTTATGTTCTGTTACCCCAGTGGCTTCCTGAGCTAGCAGTGGCCTTATCCCTTTGCTAAAGCTCCAGTGAGATGAGGTAATGTTTGCCCTTATTTTCAGAGTCGTGGGAAGCTGCTTAAGAGCCTAGGAAAGAAGGGTGACACACTGAGTCACACTGATCCCTGCTAGATCAGAATCTAATCCCCACTTTGTTGTCTGCTATGGGTAGTAAGATGATTTTCTCCTCCTCCTCCTCCTCCTCTTCTTTCTTCCTTCTTTTTTAAAGATCACAACTCTTAAGATTGTCTTAAAAATCTGCTTATCGACAGTGGGTTGGTCACATAGGGGTAAATTAAGTCTTAATAGTGATACAGTGGAGACAGTTCATCATAGAACTCTAGGAGGCAGAAAGACAGGTTAGCCTTTGTTTGGAGACCAGCACTCTACCTCATGGTACACTCTGGCCAGCCAACCGGCCCTCTGTCTCCCTTATCTCAGTTTACCTGAGCTGGAAAGGAAGGCTGAGGCAGACCTAATTTTCAGCCCCTGGGTCTGTGCCCTTGTCTGTGGCCAAGCTGACTTGGCTTGCGTTCCTCTGACATCATCTCTCGCTTATCCTCCTCTGTAAAGTCTGCTTTCTCGAGAGCTGACAACTTGTTCTTCTCATCCTTTGTAAGAACTGAAGGAAGTCTGTCTAGCTCGGCCCTTCTCAGAGGCATCCTGCTTGCCCATAGCATCTGTTTGCTCACCCATGAAAAGGGAACACACGGCAGATGTTATGTCAGTCAGTGTCCAGGCCTCCTGCAGGACAGGCTGGACAAACTGGGCAAGGACTGCCTCTTTCCATAGCCTTTGGGGTTAAATGTTGAGAACCATGAGGTGCCTATTATATGTGTTCTATGAAAATATTTGTGCAAGGCAGGCCTGAAATCCAGAGCCTCTGATTCCCTTGGCTTTTACATGCCTGCCCTGACTGCGAGGCCCGACACTGACCATCCTTGACCTGTACTGTAGGTTTTTGTTGTTGTTGTTCACTTGTTTTTTTTTCTTTCTCACTCAGAATTCCTTCACTTTGCTGTGACTGAATAAAAAACAAAACAAAACAAAACACACACATACTTCCAAATAGGCCAGTGTGTAAGAGGGCCCTTGGAGCCCCAAAGTGGGTCACTTCACTTTCCTGCCTTGTCCGCCCCTGTTCCCATGAGTGGTTAGCATATGTGGGGCCATTGATAGAGTTCAGCTGGCAGCACTGCAGGAGCCGGAGTCAGGAGATGGCCCCAGGGGTGAAACAGAGTCCCCGCCTGGGCTAGTATATCCATGACGACTTGGCTCCTGTTCCTCGTGGATGGGTTCCCTGTGGTCCCTTCTGAAGCGGTCTGCATATCCTCGGTTACTCCCATCTGGTCTGTAGGAAGAAAACACTCTTCTAGGAGCACAAATCAACATGGCTGCGAAAGCCTACCTGAAGAATGGACCGCAGGTTGTCCCAGGGAAGGAGCTAGCAGATGCTTTTCTCTCTTACCTGGAGAGCAGAAGCCTGCAGCAGAGACGTCAGGGTGACTCATCTAAATGGTAGACTCTCCTCGGCACTAATTGGTCTTCACTTGACTAATGGCGCTTTGAGTTGGTGGCAGAGGACAGAGTACCGGTGGGGGAGTTGCCTAGGCCAGAATTGGCTGCCCGGGGCTGGGTGGGGCTGCTGGTGACTGGAATCAGATAGCTGGATAAACGGACCAGTTACGTAACTGTGTTTACTTGGGCTCAGGTGGTTGTGGAGGCACCAGCAATCCTTGACCCAAAGGCCATGCCAGAGGTGTGCAGGCAACTGACTAATAGGGAGGGAGGTCGCTTTTAGAGCTGACGGCATGTAGGAGACCGGATGGCATACTGACCAGAGCTGCACTCTCTGGGACAATGCTGCCTGGCTCTGATATACCAGGGAAGCTGCCCGGCTGTGAGTCAGGCAGGCAGCAGCAGTGAGCTGAAGCTCGGGAGGAGGAGTCGGGAAACCAGACACCTGGTTCTTAGTGCAATCTCAGAACCTTGCTACCTTTTTCTCTTTCATCTTAAAAGAGGAGGAATTCTCCCTAAATATGGACAGAAAAGGGGATTATTCAAGTTCCCTTGGATTTCTCTAACCCATGGTCCTAGCAATCCTGCATGCTGTGTTTTGTGAGGCCATCCAATACTTGCGAACACAGCGGGCTCCGGCCTGAGAGGTGCTGAGCCAGTCCGGGCCTGAGTGGCCAGGCAGAGCTGAGGCAGCTAAGCAAAAAGCTCAGCTCTCCAGTGCCCCCCCTCCTCCCCACATGCGTCCTCTGAGACTTGTTTACCGGACTCCCCATTCCCATAGAGATGGGACTGGTAGCCCGTCCTCAGCTCCTTGTCCGTAGCTGTACCTTCTCTTGTGAGAAACAGGAAGCTGGAACCTTTGGCAGCTCAGCGGCACCCTCTACATTAAATATTTATCTTGGAGCCCAGGTCAGAGCCCTAGAGCCTAAGAAGTTCGCTCCTGCTGAGGGGGATGGCCAGGATTCCTGGACTCGGAAGATCTTCAGCTCCGTCCTCGTCTTTGGAGAACAAGGAAGAGAACGAAAGTGATGTGGCCCTTCTTAATCCCAGGGATCCTGACAGGTGGGAAAACGTGGAAGAGGGAAATGGGTAGAACTTGTAATCCCACAGGAGGAAGAGGCTGCTTCCCGGGGCTGGATGGACAAGTCCAGCTCCAGAGGAGCAGCATAGTGCGGCCTGACCTCAGAGGGTCCCAGAACTCCTCCTCTCCTGAGGTCCCGTCTGTGGGTTTTATAACCCACCTCACCCCTCTCCTTTCAGCCTTCTTAAAAAGGCAGGTGTATAATCTCTAAGGAGACCTCACAGGGCATCTCATTTAATCACCCTGAACTGTGCAATACCTGCCTTTGTTAAACTACCTCACCACTGAGGACTGGAGCCCCCGTTAGGTGGTTTTCATCTGTGGAAGCCTGCCAAGTGTCTTCCTTAGGGCTCGCACCCATGGGAGCCCTGGCACGTCCATCTCTTGAGCTGTTCCTGGGCCTAAGTTTCCCAGGGGATCTTGTCTGAGGACAACACAAACAGCTCTTTTCCCACAATTGGGGAAATGTGAAGCTAGTAAGAGTTGAGGGTGCTAGGGTGCTAGGTGACGTGCTTGAAAACCACTGAAACTCAGGGTGCCTCAAGCACCCGTCAAACTGCAGTGGGTATCACTGACCATATCCAACACCGAGCTGAAGTGGATCAGAAACCATTTTTACTGGTTGGTTTGTTGGGAACTTGGGTATCCCAGGAGTGAGTCACGGGCTAGAAGTACTCCAGGGTTTCCATTGTCAGCAAACATTTGCCACGGGGCTTGCCAGCCAAGAGACTGGAAGAGGAGGAGAGGAGGGAGGGCCAGAGAGGAGGGACAGCCAGTGGGTGGTGTCCTTGGGATCCGCGTCAGCGCCGCAGGAACAGCGGAAAAGCAGGATCAAAACAAAACGGTGAATGGGAACACCAAGACCCTCCTAACCTCATCCCCACCCAAGGGACCCCACCCTTGTCCTCTTTAGTACTGTTGCCCGTCCAGGGAACCGCTGGTTCTCTTAGGACAATTTCCTCCCTAAACTTTACACGTGTGTGAGCATCCTCACGTTTGCCAGAACACGCGCGTTTGTTTGCAAACTCCTGGCCGCGCGCTTAGACAGGCACAAACTCTCTCCCCAAGTGGGCGCTGCCTTCGCTCCTAGGCCACCCTGCCTGTGGGACTCCCTTATCTCGGTCCCAGCCTGTCTGCCTCCCGTCCTGTCTCCTGCCTCTCCCAGGCTGAGGGCTGCGTCGTATCTAATGCTGGCTCCACCCGGACTCTGGCACTATCACTCCTGCCCTCTGTCCTAGCTCTGCAGAACAGCTCGCTTCCCACACCCTGGAAATGTCGCTGGAAACTCTGAGTGGCCCCCCACCAGCCCGCCCGCCCGCTTCCGACGCCAGCTTTGCGGTGGGGGACGGGGAAGGCATCTGGGAAACCCAGCGGGCTCCCCTGGGACCCTCGGTGGCCCCTCCCGGCGCCGCCTCCTGGCGGGCCCGGCCCCTTGGGCAAGGGGCCACAGCGTCCCCGTAGCGCGCGGCCGGACAGAGGGCACCCGCGGGAGTGGAGGGAGGGAGTAGCCAGCCCCTCCACTCCACCCCAGCACAACCCGGACTCACAGTCCAGATCCGAGCCTCAAACTCCTCCCGCCGCACTCCTCTCAGGGTCCTGCCTCCCAGCTCGCCCCCTCGGCCTCCCTCTTCCTCGTTGAGCGCCCGGCCTGGCCTAGCGTCCTGACGGGTCACGAGGGCCGCGACCGCTGGCAGCTCGCACTTCTCCTTGCCCTCTTTCCCCGAGGGCGATCCGCGGCTGTGCCAAGCAGGAGCCGGCTGGGATGCTCCTGCCCTCCTGGGCGGCCCCGAGTCCCCCCACCTGCTCGCCGGGGGAAGGTAGGTGCGGGAACGCCAAGGGGCAGGAAAGAGGCAAGACACAGCATGGGCTAGACAGGAGGGAAGGCATAGAGCCCCTCCCCCGGGATCCCAACCTCTGAGGTTGTGTGACGTTACCTTACCCGCAATCCAGAAAGAGTGTACTCGGGAAAAACTCCGACCCTGTCTGTAGGGATCTGTAGTGTGATTAGACTTGGAAAAGCAGAGGGCAAAGTCCCCCCACCATCAGGGCCTCACTCTGAGGTGGGAAGGGATCTACCAAACTTAGAAATACTTCATTCTTCCAGCTCTTTGGAGAGGGCTGCTTGGGTGCAGGGGCTGCCTGAATTCTGGGAGCTCACCAGAGGTGTATGGACACCTGTTTTATGCCAGATGGACACCAATTCTCCTGGAGGCGGCTGTCTTTCTTAGGTTCTGTCTAATGTCTCCAGGCAGGCCTGCTGGGAGAAAGACCAGGACCACCTTCTGGCCCCATCCTACCCCTGTGCATTCTCGGGAGTGCTTTTACGTGGGGAGCTGGGTGGGAAAGGAGCAGATTGAGGTATCCTGGGGTCTACAGCTCCTGCAAACAGGTGGTGATGGGGGTTGAACCCTCTTCCCTGAAGAGGATGCTGGGTGGGGACACTAACATTAGGGAAGGAAGGCCTGTCAGCTGATGGGTACAGCTGCTGATGCTTAGAGCAACTTGGCCTCAAGCCAGCAGTCAAGCAAGGAGGGGGGTAGCTCTACACCAGTCTGCCCGGGCCTCTTTGGTCCTCAGTCCTGCCTTGCCTCACTTTCCCTGGGAGGAACTGGGGTGTGTTTGAGTGTTTGGCTTTTGGTAAGTGCTCTAATTGGATCCAGCTGGTGGGCTGCACCTCCTCCAGACTCAACCTCCCCTCCCCACAAACTCAGGGAGGGGTTGGCCAGGTCCCCAAAAGGCTGCTCAGATGTCAGAAGAAATCCCCACAAATGCAGACCAGAGAGGGTGCTATCCTTGCCTCCTTTGATTCCTTGCCAAGGCCTGCGCTGGAACTGCGTATGAGCGGCCAGGAACCACAGGCCTCTATTGTCCGTCTTACCCCCATGGTCCCCCACAACTTCTTATGCTATTCATATGACTGCTTGCCGCACATGCTCCTGGGACCTTCTTTTATCTCAACTCCCGTGCTGCTCACATGATCCATCCTGCATCCCCACCCCACCCCCAAGTCATATTCATAGCACCGAATATATCGTACCACACACAGGACACCTCCTGAGGGGTCTGGTGTCCTTGCTGGGAGCCGCTAACTCCACAAGCACATGCAAGTCTAGTCCAAAAGGTGGTTCAAGTTTATTCCCCTAGGGCCCTGTCCAGTCGTGAAGAGGAAGAGGCACAGATTCTGCCCCACAGCTTTCTGGGCACGAAAATTCTTTTGTGCCCTTGAACCATGACCTCTTTGTCCTCTTGTACCCACTTTTGGGTCCCCCTTTGCATGCCTCCATCTCCCGGATGCTCTGCGTTCCCTTATGCTGACCCCTTGAGTGAGGCCTTGTCAGGAATGATGCTATCAGCCAGGGAGAATGGGTACAGGTACGGGTAGGGGAGTGTTTGTCAGTGTGCAGGAGAGCAGCTTCCAGAACTCAGCACCACTCCCAGGGCTGGAGCAGGTTCTCTTGTCGCCTGTGGTTTTGCTTTCCATCCACCTACCACTGGTCCTGAGTGTTCTGGAACCGTACACAGGAGGCCCAGTAGATAGCCCACAGTCCCTTAATCCCAGGAGGACTGGCTGCCCTGCCTGGCAATGCTCCCATGCTCTCCCTGGTCCTGGTAGGGATGAGGGCACTGCTGGCTGCTTCCTGCGATCAGCAGGTAGGAGGCCTCCATGTTGGCTGCCCTTGTGGCTATGAGCAAGCAGATGCTACCCAGGGCATGAGAATGCAGAAGCATGGAAACAAAGTCCTGTGTGCCCAGGTCCTCTTTGCTAACTGCCCTACTTCCCCTAGCCTTCCCTCTAGGGGAGCTGGCTATCCTGGCACACAGAGCCCTCAGAGGGGTGGTCAGCAGGCCGCAGGCCTGCTCCTAGCCAGCCTCCCTATCCTCCTCCTTGCCTAGCTTCCCTTCCCCCACTCCCACCCAGCGCTCCTGCCTGGGGCCTAACAAGCAGTCCATTGTGCCTCTGGGAGTCCTCCGCACTGGCAGCCTGCAGGCGGGTGCCCAAAGCTGCCTGTTTCCTGGGCCCTTGAGCTCCCACCCAGCTGGTCATAATCCCCTCCCACAATCTACCTTCCTCCCCCACCCGTGGGTTGAGTCAAGAGGGCCCAGGCAGTCCAGCTCAGCAAGGCTTTCTCTTCCTTCCTCCTTCCCAGCAGCAGAGTACACACGAAGGAGCAGCTGGCACATCCTGTGTCCTCCAACCTTGACCCAAGCATGCAAGGCCTCCCTGCTGGGCTCAGCCTGGACGATTTCATTCCTGATCACCTACGAGCCCATATAGGCCCATCCTCCCGGGGGACGAGGGTGAGTGAACAGCCAAAAAAAGGGGGTACACTGGTGGGTCAGCAATTGATGGGGACATTAGCAGGCCAGGTGAGAGGGCAGGGGACAGAAAGGGTCAGGAGGGAAGACAGTCTAAAGAAAGGTCCGTGGCTTCCCCAGGAGGCCAGACTGTGGCTATGCCCCGGCTACTAACCCTTCCCACTCCAGTGGGACCTCTGGGCCCTGAGCTGGCTCCTGGCCCCTCTCCACAGGTGCCCGTGATCCGGAATGGTGGCTCCAACACCCTTAATTTCCAGTTCCATGACCCTGCGCCCAGGACTGTGTGCAATGGCTGTGCCCCACCCAGGAGAGACGGTCCCCAGCATCCAGGTGGGTCCACTGGGGGAGATCTGCTCTAGGAACCTTATATGCAGGATTATGGGGCAAATCCCCTATGCCAGATGGAAGGGAGTGGATCCTTCAAGGCCATGAGAAGGTCCCCCAGGGAACTGCGAATTCAGCTTAGGGTTCTCTAGGTGATCATGCTTATCCTGAGACAGGGACCTTGAAGAGAGAACAGGCTGACACAGCCCTTCCCTCCCTCTTGCTAAGGGAAGGACGTGTACAGGGAGCCATGGCCTTAGGAGGCAAGGGAACTGTAACTGCGCCAGTGATTCAGATGGGAGGGTGAGAAGTGCTAACTTAAGAGTGAACAGGGACTGCCCCCTGCCCCGCCGGAGACTCTCGGTGTGGAGGATGCAGCTTTTGAGCCTGCCATCTGGGCCCTAAGGTCTCTAAAGCTCCTGGGGACTCCTCAGGACAATTCAGCCCTGAGAGAGATGGCACCCTTTAATGAGCACTCATTCTCCTGAGTCAGACACTGTGCAAAGGGCCTCAGTCATTTAACAAGTGATTGTTGAACACTTCCAGCAGGGCAGCACTGGACAGACCTCATGAGCCTCCCCTAGTCTAATTCATCCACATCCAAGCAAGGTCCAAGTCGGTTCTAGGCATCTTCCCAGTGGGGATCCAGTCTCAGAGATGCTCAGAGGAGGAGTCGATGAGGTTGCATTGAGGTCCACACCCTTGGCCATCTGGCCCTGAAGCACTTATGCCATTAGACTACACTACTTAGAAATGAAATGTTCTGCTGAGGGAGGGGGAGAGCTGGGGACACAGCGCAGAACGCATGCCTGGGGAAATGAATTTTGGACCCCTCTGAGGGTCTTTGTGCTGGGTACAGTGACACAGACTAGAAACCACTAAATCTTTGCTGAAATTGCTCTTCATTTATACAAGTGGAAACTGAGGCACCGTGAGGGCCGTCAACCAGCCTCAACTTAAACGACCAGTAGGTGGCAGAGCTGGAGTCAGAATTTAAGTCTGACTCCATCCAATCCCATTTCCCCTACCAACCCTCCTGCAGTCCAGATTTGTTGTCTTGCCGCACCCTAGCTGGGATGTCCTCAGCATTTATTACACGTCATGATTCCCAGCCATCCTTCTGCAAACGCTTAGGACAGTCCAGGAAAACAGAACGGGGGTGGGGATGCATACAGATTGCTCCGAACAGAATCCGTTGAAAATTCATTTTAAAGAAGCAAATAAGCGGAAGCCTGGGGCGCTGCAGGGGATGGGGAGGTTTGTGGAGTCCACATCACACAGCCAGATGAGGAGGGGTTGAAACTGAGTTCACAGGGATTGACTTCAGAGGAGACAAACAAGGTCAGGCGTGGGACACCCCCCCCCCCTGCCACCTCCCGCCACCTTTCAGCTAATGCCTATACACACCTCTCACAGACCCAGCATGGTATCAGACCTGGCCAGGCCCTGGGAGCCGGCCCTCTGCGAGCCCGAAGCAACCTGCCTCGCAGCATGCCCAGAACTGGTCAGCCACATGGACCAAGGACAGCAAGCGGCGGGACAAGCGCTGGGTGAAGTACGAGGGAATCGGGCCCGTGGATGAGAGCGGCATGCCCATTGCCCCCCGATCTGTGAGTCCAGGGCTGGGGGTCACAGATAGAGAGGGCCCAGAGACCCTCCTAAGTTCTATTTCTAGGAGTAGAATAGGATTGAGGCATGAAGGCCATGCCCACACCTTACATATCTGAGTCAGGTGTTACATGGTACAGTTCTCAAAACTGGAAAGCTACGGTCTTAAGGGCTGTAACTAGCAAGGATGTTTCTTAGTTTTGTACCCCAATGGCTTGGCATAGCACCCCCAGAATGGCTTCCTATTTACTGGCTGAGTCCTGAGCAAGATTGCCTCATGCCATGGCGGGCAGGGAAGGATCCTGTATTCCACCAGGACTACTGGGGCCCTGACCTTCTGCTGCCTTCATATCTTGGAGCCAACCAAATTTCCTCATAGTCACACATTCTCCCTGCTTTGTAAGGTCCAGGTGCAGCCGGTAGGTGAAATACCTTCTCCCCCTACAGTGTTACTTTTGTTTCCTCGTGAGGAAACATGATTAATGTCAAAGCGCTGGGAATAGAGAAACAAGTCTGAGGAGATAGCTCAGCCAGTACAGTGCTTGCCATACAAGCCTGAGGACCTGAATTCTAGTCCCTGGAACTAAAAAGAAAATTACATTAAAATCCAATTACTTAAAAGTTTAAATATTGTATTATTTATAATATTATTTATTATTATTAAAATGCTTTAAAATTAAATCATTTTAATTAAAGTAAATTAAACCGATTTTTTTAAAGGTAGGCATGGTAGCACATGCCTATCATTTCAGCATGATGCGCTGGGAAGGTGGAGACAGGAGGCTGTCTGGACCTCACTGGCCAGCCACTTTAGAGTACTTGATGAGTTCCAGGCCATTGAGAGAGACTATTTCAAAAAAAAAAAAAACAAAAAAAACAAAAAACAAAAAAAACAACAAGTGGATATGGATCAGATGGTCATAGTGATGAACATCTTTAATCCTAGCACTCAGGAGGCAGAGGTACAAGGATCTCTGTGATCTGTGAGTTCAAGGTCAGCCCAGTCTACATAGTGAGTTCCAGGCCAGCCGAAGGCTACCTCGTGAAACATTGTCTCAAAAATAAAATAAAATAAAAATGAAGGACTGAAGAGATGGCTCGGTGGCTAAGAACACTTACTTGTTCTTGCTGAGGACCAGGCTTTGATCCCTAGCACCCACACAGTAGGTCATGACTGCTCATAACTCGGTTACAGAGGCTCCAACACCTTCTTTTGGCCTCTGAGGATGCAAGTAAAACAACACATAAAAAAATCTTTAAAAAAGAAATAAATAAAAATAAATTAGGTAGAGAGCTGGGGAAATGGTTCAGGTAGATAAAGGCACTTGCCCTCAGGCCCTCACTTCTGAGGTCCTAGTCTGATCCCCAGACCCAGGTGACAGCAGGAGAGACCCTGTTCCTGTCAGTCGTCCTCTGGCCTCCACATATGGGTGTGGCAGGTGCACATCCCAGCCCAATAATAAATGAAAGAAATATAAAAAATGTGGCGGAGCTCTCCTCTGGCCTCTGCGTGCACAGGGGTATGCACCTGCACACACACACACACACACACACACACACACACACACACACACACACACACACAGCATCACGACCACCAGAGACATTCCCTAGCCTTCCATGTGGATTCTGAGGTGCCCAGAGAAAGGTCTCATTAGAAAAGCTCTCATGACTTTTCCTTGGGAAGGATGGGTGAGCAGGGAGACCTGAAGACTGTGGGTGAGCAGGGAGGCCTGATTTTAATTTTCTGATCTCAGAGTGTTGACAGCCCCAGAGACTGGTATCGGAGAATGTTCCAGCAAATTCACCGGAAAATGCCAGGTTAGACACCTCCCCAGGACCCAATAGACTCCCAACAACATGGAGGTTGTGGGAGGGATGGGAAGGGACATTTTTTTTTTCTTATGAGATTCTTCTGACTTATGAGATTCTTCTCTCTCAAAGCCCTAAGGTAAGTGGTCTTGAAAATATCCACCCATCCCCTTGTAACCCTAGCACTCAGAGAGGCTGAGAAACAAGGGGATCACAGATTTGAGGCCAGTCTAGGCTACAAAGTGTGACTGTCTCAAAAATCTAAAAAAGAAAGTGTGTGTGTGAGTTGGGGAGGGGATGGCAAAAGGAAGAAGAGGAAGAGGGAGAGAGGGAGGGAGTTTCTGTGTCACCAATGCTTGAGGCCAGCAGCGGCCTCCAGAGCATCCTTCTTGGGTGGACTAGCTGAAGTTTCCCCGATGTCCTCCTGGGTCTTCCTGGGATCCCTCAGAGTTAGGCTGTAGTGCCTGCCACAGTGGTCCTTCCTTCGCTTGAAGCACTGAACGCAGTCAACCCTGAGCAGCGTATGAGAGCTTTGTGCATTGGTCAGTCCTTGCCTGTCTCTCGGGACTTACAGTACACTCTTCTAGGAAGATGTGCCATAAGCAGATGGTGGAAAGGGCTAGAATAAAACCAAAGAAAACTGGGGAGCGGTCAGCGCAGCTAGGCTGAGACCTCACTCAGAACAGGCAGGGGAGAGGCCCTTGAGCTAAACCTAGAAAGGGTAGGGAGAAATGTGCCAGCAGAGGGCGCTCCAGAGACCCAGAGGGAAAAGCACATTGACCCATTCCTGCACTGGAGTGAGAGGGGATTCATATAGGAGACGCCATCAGAGTGATAGGGTCAGGTCTTGTGAGGCTCTGGGTGCCCCTGAGAGGACTTTGGCTTTTACCAGACAAGAAACCTGGAAGCCTGGGCAGTTCGAGCATCAGAGTGACAAGCTCTGACAATGGGGACTGGAAGGATCACCCACACTGGCAGACACAGAAGAGATGGTGGGAGCATGGGGACCAGTCCTCCTGATTAGCAAGGCCGGGAGGAAAAAGATCACCATGGAATCTGCTTTGATCCAGTCTACACCTAGAAGTGACTCAGACCAGGGCAGGGGGCAGTTGGATGGGGTGGGGAATCCAGGGAATTTCAGGCATAGTCCTGGAATTCTGGGCAGAAAAGAACATCCTGAAGGATGAATTTAAACCCGAGCATGTGGAAGGATGAAGCTACTTTTTGGCTTCCTTTTTATTTTTCAGACAGGACCTTGTATATTCCAGGCGGACCTTGGGCTCACCATGTAGCTGAGGTTTGCCTAGAGCTCTCGGTCTTCCTGCCTCAGGGGTCACAGGAGTGTGCCCGCCTTTGGTGCTGCCATTTTGTGTTTTGAGAGAATGGGAAGGCTGCAGAGGGAGCAGGTTTAAGAGGCATTTGGAGCTTGGTGTGATGGCACATGGCATTAGTCCCAGCACTCAGGAGACAGAGGCAGGAGGATCTCTGTGAGTTCAAAGACAGCCTGGTCTACACAGTGAGTTCCAGGACAGTCAGAACTACATAATGGGTCCTTGTCTCAGAAAACAAAAGAAAATAGAGGCTTTTAGTTTTGGAGGCATGTCACACTCTAGTGGAGTAGGCAGCAGAATGCCCAAGGCTAGTTCAAGGGCAGGGTCTGACCTGCACAGGAAATACCGGGGACTCTCAAAAGAGATGGTGAGTTCCAGTCCTCGAGGCGTTCTTATTTATAGCTTAACTATAAACTAGGATTGTGGGAGTAGATAGCACCATCCTTATCTTTTAGTATCCAAAGAAGATTGGTTCCCCCACTCCCCAGCCCTGCAAGAAGCCCTTTGCATAAAGTGCCATATCCAACGCTATGGATCTAGGTCTCCATAGCAGCTCACTCAGGGAAGCTGGGCCAGGAAGGTTGTCATGAATTCTAGGCCAACCTAGGCTATGGTGTGAGGTCCCATCTCAAGGAAAAACGGAAAATGGGTTGGCAGAATGATTCAGTGGGTAAAGACTTCCACGCCTGACAATCTTCAAAACCCATATAGTGGGAGGAGAGAATCGACCCTCTGACTTTCACATACATGCCATGGCATGCATGTGTGCACACATACACACAGAAATGTTTCTAAGAAAAAGCAAAATAAACAAGCAAAAAACCTGAAGGGGCTGGAGAGATAGTTCAGCAGTTAAGTGACTGCTCCTCTAGAAGACCCAGGTTTAATTTCTAGAACCTACATGGCTGCTCACAGCTCTGTAACTCCAGTTTCAGGGGGCCTGGTACCCTCCTTTGGCCCCCATGGGGAACCAGACACACATGTGATTCACAGGCATACATACAAATAGAATATAAAATAAAATTTAAAAACCAATAAGATGTAGATATAAGTATTTATATTTGCATCTACTTGCATATATATCCTTTCATAGACCTTAAATTGCCTCTAGATTACTTATATTTAATCCCAAGTAAGTGCTGCAGCAGTAGCTATAGGCACACTGTACTGTGTTGTTTAGGGAATGGTGACAAGAAATAAGTCCATGTGCAGCACAGATGTAATTATATTTTCAAAAAGGCCTGGTTGGATCCATGGTTGGATCCATGGAGGTGGAGCCTGTGGAAACAAGGCTGAATGTATTTGAAAAGCCTTAGGACTAGCTAAGATCCCATAGAGAGATGGAGAGATAGTCTTTAGGACTGAGCCTCCCAGGCATGTGGGTTCTGAGAGTCCCTGATAGGAGGGAAGTAGCCTAGAGCCTTGGAGGCGCCTCCAGAGATGGAGAAGGAGAGATGAATAGTCTCCCTGCAGCCAGATGAGAGAACGGAGTTTCAGAGGGAAAAGCTGTGACAGATGCTGCCACTGAGTCAAGTTAGATGGCTTTGGAGCTGACCATAGGCTGAGTGCTGTGGAGGTCCGGAGCCCTTGGTCAGAGTGGTTGATGCAACAACAGTGAGCAACAGGTCTTCTGGAAAAGAGGAATGCGGTAGTCCGGTTTCTTGAGGAAAAGCAGACAACCCAGCAGCAGAGGGAGGTCAAGGCAGGCTCCTGAACAAAGTATTTGGGTTTTAGAACCTCTAGACGCCTCCCTCACCCCAACTCCTGAAAGCCCTGCACGCTGGGAGGTGTGGTTCAGGGCGCAGTGAGGAGTGAGGTATTTGAGAAGGAGGTGCAGATGGGGAAGGGAAACAGAGAGGAAGCCCAGCTTCCACAGGCTGGCATGGCCTGGACAAGCCTACAGAGGTCAGGAGAGGGTGTGGGGGGGATTAAATCAGGAGGGGTTAGAGGGTGTGGCTGCCGCCCATTTGGCTCTCCCAGGCCCAAAGTCTGCCAGAGGCAGGCATTTCAAGCCCTCCCAAAGGCTGCCCTCCTAATTCCTTACCTCCCTCGGGACATTCTTCAGGCCCTGACTCAGCCCTCAGCTCCTGCTCCAAACAGAAGGGAGGCTGGGAGCAGCTAGGCAGGCTTCTGGAGCGTCCTGTCCTCACTCTGAGTCCTATTGCTGACCCAATCCTTTCTGTTCTCCAGATCTACAGTTTGACTGGACCTTGGAAGACCCACCCAAAGGTGAGAGATATGGGTTTACTGGTCTGTGTCTGGTGACTTGTGGCCTGAGCTTGGGAGCCTCCCAAGTGGTGTGGTTCCACACAAGAAGTTTATTTTTTTTTAATTTTTTGTATTCATTTTACATAACAACCCCACAAGAAGATTTTAAGGGCCACGTCTGGGAACAGTAAATCCCCTGGTAGGAGGTGACTAAGACTTCCTTGGCTGCCCAGAAGCCCTTGTTTGCCATCTGCTAACCAGACTTCCCTGGGCATTTTTCTTACATGATTATCTTATGCGATTCTTCTGAATTATGAGAATCTGGGGATCCCACCTTCCCCAAAGCTCTTGGTACAAAACCCAGGTACTAGCCAGGAGCCCATCTCTGTTCCTGTGAGCCATAATCCAGGCATTAGGATGGAGGTGGGTACCACCGCCTTAAATAATTACCCAATCCTAGTCCTTGTCTGTCTTCTTTCACTCCAGTGGTTTCCTCGCGTGCCTCTTCGGCAGACTCCAGGCATCCAGAACCCCAGCAAAGACCTGCCTCCAGGCCTGGCACATCAGTGACTTCTAGTGGGTGAGCAACACAGAGACTAGTGTCCCCTTGTGGCCAAAGCTGGCACAACCTGGGAGCAGACAGGGAAGAGTCTATTCTTCCATTGGGTTCTACAGGGTCTTAGAAGGTCGCCACCACTGTAGCTATTCCCACTCACAAGGGTCAAAGACAGCCAGGAACAGAATCGCTCCCGTTGTGCACCAGGAACCAGAGACTGTGAGTGATGTGTGTGTGTCCAGGACATCGGGGGATGGAAGCTGTTAAGGGCAGCTTGGACATGTGATCTTCCACTAAAACCAGAGAGAAAACCAGTAACATGGATGAACCAGGTTTCCACTAGATTGTGACTGAGAGGTGCCCTGGGCTGAGCGCTCAGGTGCTGCAGGAACTCTGTGCCGCTTGGGCCCCTGGAGCTCTGCTCTGTGGTTAAGTGCACTAGCTGTGTGTGCCTTCATGGGGTACAATTCAGCTCACTAGCAGAGCCATCACTGACCTGTGGCCTTTGTCATCAGTGAGGCAGTGACAAAAATCCAGAGTGGACCCAGAGTTGAGGTCCAAATCAGGCCACTGCCAACTAGCCTCCTGTCCCCATCTTATGAGTGGGGACAGACGGTAGATTATCAAGACTGAGTGAGCCAGAGTCTGATCTCACATTGTGGTTGGCATATAGCAAGTCTGCAAGCATTCGAACACACAGGTTCCCAAATGATGAGCGCTTCCTTCTCCTGCAAACAGCACATTCCATTCTCATGATCACCTTTTTATTATCGAAATGAGAACAGAGTCATAATTATAGGCAATGAATCCTCACCCTGTGCTCAGACATGCCATCATTTGATAAGCTCCATTCAGTTGTTCCAGGCATGGGTAACTTTCAGACTAAAACCAGAGGCTGGGGCATGAAAGCCAGCCAGAAAAGGAAGCCTAGAGGAGAACCGAGGCAGCAGGACACTTCGATGACTGAAGTGGCCACACAGGTTTTATCACTGAATCCAAGCCACATAATCTGAGGCCCAGAGACACAAAACAACTTGTCTGCCAGGTCTCCTGGGCAGAGATGCCCACAAGTTCTCCTTGGAGTTGTGTGTAGTCTTACAGTAGTCTTATATCCTGGGCTACGGTTTGTAGGCAGACCTTTCTGTCCCACCAGTCAGTTCCCAAATAACCAAAGAGACTTATTATTAATTATAAATGCTTAGTCGATAACTTAGGCTTGTTAATAACGAGTCTTACATTTTAAGTTAACCCATATTTCTTATCTACGCTCTGCTATGTGACGGTACCTCTTCTTAACGTGGCAAGTTCATCTTGCTTCTCTCCACGTCTCCTCTTGACTCCTGAGACTCCTCCCTTCTTCCCAGCATTCTCTCTGTCCTGAAAATCCTGCCTTGCCATAGGCTACTCGGCTTTTTATTAACATTAAGAGCAGCACACCTTCACAGTGCAGTGAAGGGTCTTCCACAGCAATGGTTCACAAGACCACTTGACTATGGCAGCTTGGAAGCCAGCTGCACTGGGACACAACACACCAAACACAAATACAGGATGCTTCTGCCCAAGGCTACAAGAGAGGTCCTGGTCACCCATGGAGCATGGAGCGATGTTTGCAAAGGTTGTCAGCTGGACACCTAACACACATTCCTGCATGCCACTCCCATTTTACCGATGTTGAGCCCAAGGCTCCATACAGCTTGCCTTAGGTCACATAGATTCTAGGGGATGAGGCTGGATTGAAACCTGGAACTCACACACTGCTCCTGGACACTAATTCCACAGTAAGGGGGCAGGGTGGACTCCTTTTGTGGGAATGGGAACAGTGGTAGAGGAGAGGGGGTGCAGCCTCTTCTCCTTTGGTTACATTCTCACCCATGCTTCAGTTTTCTAAGAGGAATCTGAAGTGGGATTTTCTCTTTCTTCAGAAGAGACTGGCACCACTCTGAAGAGCCATCTAGAAACACCTTTAACTATAATTTTGGACCATCCTCTTCGGGACTCCAACCCCCAAATCAGGTAGACCGTCCTGCTCACCAGCACCATCCCCAGCTGTGTGTTCTCCCGTCACTCTCACCTGCTGGCACAGCGCAGTGCAGATAATTCCCTGATTTTGGCATGTATACGTAGGAAGGGACCAGTGGGCAGATCGGGGAAGCCAAGGCCTGCCTTTAGACTGTAGACCCAACCTTAGTGATGGCTACTCACATCCATGCAGGTGCCCAGACGCCGAGAGAAAGGAGAGAGTGTCTGGACAGAAGACTCCTGGAACCAGTTTCTGCAAGAACTAGAAACTGGGCATAAGGTGAGAGTATTAGCAGGGTCCTCTAGGTCTGGACACACCCCTCCGCTGGAGCCTGTTCCAAGTGAGGCCATTGTCTTAGATGTACCCTTCCCACCCTGCAGCCCAAGAAACCGCTGGTGGATGACCCCGTTGAGAAACCTGCACAGCCCATTGAGGTGAGTGCTACCCGGTGGAATGAAGGACAGACAGACAGAAGCCAGTATCAGCAGTAAACAAGGATGACTCTGGGTGTTGTGGTCTTAACCACGGACAAGGGTCAGGGCCCCAAGGTTCTTAACTTGCCCTAGCTCCGTGCATTTTCATCTCCAGCCTTAGCACCAAGGACAGTGCCCGTGTGCAGTAGGTGATTAGTAAACACGGATGTAGCAACCAGAGCAGGAAGAGATCAGTCAATGTGAACTGGGGTTATCAGAGGTACTCGTGAAGTGGAGCTGAGTTTGGCCAGACAGAGAGACAGCCCCTCTAGGAAAGAGACTGGGGTGTGGGGGAGGAGGGGGTGTATACCCGAGTATGCAATTGTGTGTGTGTGTGTGTCCACGTGCATGTGTGTCTGCATACACACACACACACACACATGAGTAAAGTTCAGCTCTCACTGGAATGAACAGTATGATGATGGGTGGGTGGGTGCAGTGAAACCAGGCCATGGAAGGCCATAGAAACCAATAGAAATGTGGCAAGCCCTCAGGTTCTTAAACAAACATACCCCCTCCCCCGCCCACTTCCTCAAAATTAAAAAGGCCAGGAAAGGCTGAGGCACTCTTAACACCCTGGAGTCCTGGGTTGGGGACTGGTGACAGGGATGACGTGACACCTTTCCACTAGTCTTGAAACATGCCTATAGGCATGGTCTCCTCCTGGTCTCCTCCCTGAGGCCTGGCGGGACCAGCCTCCGGTGACACAGTGCACTTCCCAAGAGAATCTTATCCCCCAGGTCCTGCTAGAAAGAGAATTGGCCAAGCTGAGTGCAGAGCTGGATAAGGACCTGCGGGCCATCGAGACCCGCCTACCATCTCCCAAGGTACCCGCCTCCAGAGAACTTCAAGAGAAAGGCTTTCGCCTTAGCAGCAGGGGACAGAGGGAAGCAGGCAAACCTAGAAACTGGCGACCTTGGGCAGACTTCAGCCTTGTCCGAGCTTCAAAACACTGGGCGTCAACTTTCTAAGTGACCCCTAGGAACCCTTCTCCGCCAACTCAGATTCAGTCCATATTCCACCCCGCCTGGCCCCACCCCTAGCCGCAGCCCCAGGGACCCCAGGACCCGACCCGGCCCTGGCTTCCCGGGCCAGCCTCCTTCCTCCGTGCCTCCTCCCAGCGCAAAGGCTCGCGGGCCGCCTCTAGGACCCTGCGTCCCGCCCCTCCCCTGCCTCCTTCCCTCCCAAGCCGCGAACTTTTCCGGAGGAGGTGGCGGCACTGGCCTCAGCTGCCCTGGCCCCGGGGTCTCAGGCTCTGATCACGTCCGGTGTCCCCCGTGCAGAACTCCCAGGCGCCACGACGGTCCTTTGAGCAGCCCGCCCCAGATCAGCGGCCCTCCGCCCGGTGAGTGGCAGAGACGCAGGCAGGAACAGAGGGTCTGTTCCCCACGGAGGGGACGTGGCGCCGGCGGGCGAGGGGGCGATGGCCCTGCCCACGGTGGGGGACGGGCGAACCTCAGAGGAGGGGCCTGAAAATCGGAAAAGTGGCCTACGGGCATCCCAACCGCAACTCTGTTGGGACTTATCCACTCCTTGAGGGTCACCTGCCCCAAGCCAGGGACACTGGTAGTGGTGGTGGTGGTGGCAGCGCAGCGGCAGAGAGTGGGACCGAGCCCCGACACTTCCCGCGTTCCCTTGGGCGGTCTCCTCCTCTCCTAACCCAGGCCTCACCCTTCCCGGCCCTCTGCTGCACGGGAAGTAGGACATCCTGTTGAGAGTCTCAGACCTGGAAAGACGCCTTAGGAGGCAGGGGACAGGTTGGGGGTAGCGGGAGAGCCTGGGAGGTCAGTAATGTATGAGGACTAGCCCTGAGGGATATGAAGTTCCAGACAGGTGACTCACTGCCTCTGTCCCTCCAGCCTGGCCTCAGCCTGGAGGCCCAGCTCCCCGCATGCACCTTACTTCGGTTCTTCCCGACCCCTGAGCCCCCACAGAATGGCAGATGGAGGAGGAAGCCCCTTCCTGGGACGAAGAGATTTTGTCTACCCTTCCTCAGCCCGAGGTAAGACAATTTCTGTTTTTGTTGGCGCTGAATGGCCGCCTACCTGCTCTGGGAGTTCTCTTACAGCTCTGTGGTGCCAGGAAAGGGAGGGTGGGGGCCAGGAAGGTCACAGAGTCCTTGCTTTCCTGTGCCTGACCTGGGTGGGGGGAGCATAATCTATCCCAACCCGATCCCCCCCAGACATGACCTCCTCAAGCTGAGGTGGTGCTTCTCCACAGAGCCTAGTGCCTCTGAAAGGGGTAGCAGCCCTGCCAGGAAGGAGGAGAAGAAGGTAAGAGAGTCCCCCGGGTCAGGGGTCAGGGAGTGTCTGGGCAGGACCCTGTCGGGCTGAGGTAACCCACTCTGTCCTGTCCTCTCCCCTTTCCCAGAGGAAGGCTGCCCGGCTCAAGTTTGACTTCCAGGCCCAGTCCCCCAAGTAAGTGGCCTTCTCAGCCCTTCCTCTTCCAGCCTGGGCAGTCTGCACTGTGAGGGGGTAAGGAAGGGGTTTAGTGGGCAGAAGGCTGGAGGGGGAGGTGGTGTACAGGGCAGAGTCTGAAGAAGAAAGACTCAGGAACTCGGTGCTGTACACGGCTCTCATCTGCAGGGAGCTGACTCTGCAGAAGGGTGACATTGTCTATATCCACAAAGAAGTGGACAAGAACTGGCTGGAGGGGGAGCACCATGGCCGGCTAGGCATCTTCCCAGCCAATTATGTGGAGGTAAGTGGGAGGGGTGGAACGGGCAGGCTGGGAGGCTCCATGTGTTGGGAGAGGCTTAGACGACAGACCCCAGGTTTCTTGCAAAACTTTGAGGAGTCCAGGCTGTCTCTCTTGAATGTCTGTGGCCTACACATCACCTAGTCCAGGACTCAAAACTGTCTGCTAGCCCAGGAGAAGTTGAAGAGCCCCTTGCCCACCCAGAAGTCACCATCCCATAAGTGCCTCGTATTTTAACTCTCAGAGCCCTGATCTCTGATTTCTGTCCTGATCGCAACTAACCAGAATGTGTGACAGTTCACCTGTGAATGTGCCGCTTCATTCTGGCGTGTTACCTGTTTGTTCCTCACACTGCCCAGGGAGCAATGATCATCTCACTTTATAGACAGAGATTCTGTGTGAAGTAGAGAGTCATATTCTAAATGCAGGCTGAGACCTATAGGTTACTTTTAGTATCTGTGTCTTAAGTCGTATCAAACTAAGCCTATGGTATAAAGTTGTCCATAATATTCCCTTAATTTTAAAAATATTTATTCTCACACTTGGGAGGCAGAGGCAGGTGGATCTCTGTGAGTTCAAGGCCAACCTGGCCTACAGAGTAAGTTTCAGCAAGGACTATCACACAGAGAAACCCTACAGAGTGAGTTTCAGGACAGGCTCAAAGCTACAGGGAAACCCTAGCTCTTGTAGACCAGGCTGGCCTTAAACTCACAGAGATCTGCCTGCCTCTGCCTCCTGAGTGTTGGGATTAGAGGTGTGCGCCACTACTGCCCTGCTCTGTGTCTGGTTTTTACATGGGTTCTGGGGATCTAAACTCAGGTCATCAGACTTCTGCTCTCATCGAACCACCTCCTTCGCCCCGTTCTTTCTTTGCCGTTAGTAATCTCTGTAATGATTGTTCTCTCATTCCTGGTATTATAATTGGATATTCTTTTATTCTGCCTACAGATTTATTTCCTCAGTCTTTTCAAATTGCTTACCTTTGATTTTATCAGTTTTTCTTTGTTGTTTTTGTTTTCAATTTCATCTTTTTTTTTTTTTTTTACTTTTCTTGCTCAGTTTGTCAGAGTGAAAGAGTAGCCTTTCTCCTTTTTTCTCTTTTTCTTCGACAAGCATTGCACAGCAGCTCAGGCTGGCCTGGAACTCCCTAGGTAGCCCAGGCTAGCCTCAAGTTCATATTATTTCTCCTGACTCATGCTAGTCTAGATGATTGTTAATAATAGTATTTTATACCATAAATTTCTGTCTAAACACTGTTTTAACTGCATCCCACAAATTGTAATTTTTTTGGTTTGGTTTCTTTTGAGTCAGAATCTTACTATGTAGCCCTGGATGGTGTGGAACTCACTCTGTAGACCGGGCTGATCTTGAACTCACAGAGATCTGTCTACCTCTGCTTCTCAAATGCTTGGGATCAAAGATGTGTACTACCAGGCCTGAACAAATCATGATTATTATTATTATTTGTTGTTGTTTAATTTACTGTCTTCTCATATCCTCTGATACCTGGGTAGACTACTGTAATTCAGACCCTTGCTTTAACAGGCATTACAGGTTCTACCCACCTACACATTAATCTCTCTGTTTTCACTGAAGTTTAACTCAATATACACAGTCATCTGACAGTCTATCAGTCATCTACAGCTTAGTGAGAAACAGTTGATAAGCTTATTGATTTTTATGAATAGGATCAATCAATAGGGATTCAGAGCTCTGGTGGGGCCAAAGGAGAGGAGGAGTGGAGGGACTAAGATTTAAACCAAGGACCACTTGGCACTGAGCAGTAGTAAGAAATGGGACAAATTAAGCCAGACGTAGTGGCACATCCCTTTAATCCTAGCACTTGGGAGGCAGAGGCAGGTGGAAATCTGTGAGGCCATCCTGGTCTATAAGGTGAGTTCAAGAACATCTAAAGAGGGGCTGGAGAGATGGCTCAGAGGGTAAGAGCACTGACTGCTCTTCCAGAGGTCCTGAGTTCAATTCCCAGCAACCACCTGGTGGTTCACAACCATCTGTAATGAGACCTGGTGTCTTCCTCGCCAGCAGTACATTGTATGCTTAATAAATAAATCCTAAAAAAAAAAAAGAACATCTAAAGAGCTGGGCGGTGATGGTGATGTGTGCCTTTAATCCCAGCACTTGGGAGGCAGAGGCAGACAGATCTCTGTGAGTTCGAGGTCAGCCTGGCCTGGTCCGCAGAGTTAGTGCCAGGACAGCTAGGGCTATTATACAAAGAAACCTTGTTGAAAAACCAAACCCCATCCCCAAAACAGAAACAGCTAAAGCTATATAGTGAGACTCTTCCTTGAGAAAACAAAACAAATAAAAATAGTAATAATAATAAATAAATACATTTTCAGTTTTAGAACAATGTACTCTGTAGCTCAGTACACTTTGAGAGTCTAGGATTTAGATCGATGCCCTAATAGACAGTACAGGAAGAAGGGCCATGAGTAGGCAATAATTGTGGTGAATTTCCCAGATGGCCGGCTTCTTCCTCATCCTCCTGACTTGACACAAAAGCTTGGCAGCTTCAAACAAAGGCCTTATCAGCCCCTGTGTCCTTCCTAGAAGTCCCCCTGCTGATGGACTGGCCCAAAAAGTCCTTGTTTGATTAGGACGCGTGGTATGCGACAACTGTGGGTCAACCAATCATCCAGCAGACCAACCCTGAATCGGGAAGTTTTGCCTGTGCTGAGATTTCTCCGCCGCTCCTGGTTGCACTCAGGGAGTGCCTTTTAATTCGTTCACTCTTGCCTTTTAATTTTTTCACTGGCAGAGGAAATGAGCGTGACCAAGACCCCTAGACAGTGTGTCTTAGTCACTGTTCCAGGGCTGTGAAGAGATACCATAACCAAGGCAACTTTTATGAAAGAAAGCACCGGGGTCTTGCTTACAATTTTAGAGTCTTAGTTCATTATCACCATGGCAGGGAGTGTGGTGGTCTATGTGGTGCTGGAGTAATAACAAGAGAGCTACATCCTGAACCACAGGAAGAGGGAGGGGGGGAGAGAGGGAGGGAGGGAGGGAGAGAGAGAGAGAAGGGGGGGGGAGGGAGAGAGAGAGAGAGAGAGAGAGAGAGAGAGAGGATATCACTGGGCCTGGCTTGGACTTTTAAAACCTCAAAGCCCACCCCCAGTGCCACACTTCCTCCTCCTCCAATGCCACACCATCAAGTCCTTTTAATCTTTTCAAATAGTGCCATTCCCTAGTGACAAATCATTCAACTATATGAGCCCACGGGGGTCGTTCTTCTTCAAACCTTCCTTCGCTTGAGTGGCCCAGCAAGCCTTCTCGGATGACAGAGCCTGCCTGTACTCCCACTGCCACCTCCCAGGCGTCCGATCGGGGACAGCCGTGTCCATCTTCCAGGAGCGCAGGTGTGTGTCCGTTAGTATCGGGTCTAAGCTTTTCTCCCGCCCTCCCTGCAGGTGCTGCCTGCAGATGAGATCCCCAAGCCCATCAAGCCGCCCACATACCAGGTGCTGGAGTACGGAGACGCTGTGGCCCAGTACACCTTCAAGGGAGAGCTGGAGGTGGAGCTGTCCTTCCGAAAGGTGCGCTCAGGCAGGGCCTGGTGGAGTGGGGCGGGGGAAACAAAGGTGATCCTGCAGAAAGAGATGAACAATTCTTTTTTAATTAATTAATTAATTTTTTGAGACAGTGTTTTTCTGTGTAGTCCTGGCTGTCCTGGACCAGGTTCGCTTCTGCCTGCCTCTGCCTCTTGAGTGCTAAGATTAAAAGTGTGCGCCACCATGACCTGACTAAAATGAAATGAACATTTTTTTTAAATGTCAGCTATACCCAGAATTTTGGTTTTTCCAATCTCTTGAATAGGTTACTCTTGATTTTTTTTTTTTTTCCGAGACAGGGTCTCTCTTGTAGCTTTTGGTGCCTGTCCTGGAACGAGCTCTTCTAGACCAGGCTGGCCTCAAACTCACAGAAATCCACCTGCCTCTGCCTCCCGAGTGCTGGGATTAAAGAAGTGCGCCACCACTGGCTGGCCCCTATTTTACTTTTAATTTTAAGAGAGGTCTTGCTAAGTTGCCCAGGCTGGCCTTGAACTTACTCACTCTATAGCCCAGATTTGCTCTGAACTCATTCTATAGCTCTTGTTATCCTTGAACTCACTTTATAGCCCAGGTTGGCCTTGAACTCATTCTATAGCTCAGGTTATCCTTGAACTCACTTTATAGCCAAGGCTAGTCATCAACTCACTCTTTAGTCTAGGCAGGCCTTTAACTTTTTTCCTATATGTATGAGTGGTTTGCCTGCATATATGTATGTATCATATGTGTGCAGTGCCCATGAGGGCTAGAAGCAAACACCAAATCCCATGAAATAATAGTAACAGATGGTTGTGAGCCACTGCGTAGGTGCTAGGAATGGAATTTAGTTCTCTGCAAGGACATTGGATACTCTTAACCACTGAGCAGCCCCAAAGCCTTGAGCTTTTGGTATTCGTGCCTTGGCCTCCCAAGGAGCTGGGATTATAGGCCTGTGTCATGGCTTAGTCAGTTTATTCCGGTTTTGAAAGAACATTATGAACAGTGTCTCACTCTGTTATCCAGGCTGACCTACCAGGATAGCCTGGAACTCCCTGTAGTCCTCCTGCCTCAGTTGCCCAAATGCTAGTTACAGGTCTGAGCCAGCATGCCTGACCCTAGCATTGTGTTTTTATTGACTGCAGGTTAGTTGACCATAAGGATCATAATTTACATTTTTAAAGGGATAGAAAGAGGTTTTGCATGTAAAGGGTACTGTATCAAACATGAGGCCCTTATATGTGCACATCCATTTGTGTGCGTGGCTTCTGGGATGTCACTGACTTGCATGTATGTTCTGTGTTAGGTTATGGTGAAGAAAGTGGTAAGTTTCTGAGATGAGGAACTGGCCTTCCTCTGGTTGAATTGCGGGCAAAGCTTACAGATGCCCCTAGTGAATTCCTCCAAGGAAAGCTGGCTCCAAAGACAGACAGGGAAGAAGGTGGGCTGGGGGGCTGGGCACTGAGGGGTGGGAACCCTGTCCTGAGAGTAGCCTGCTAAGATGGTGGCAGTTCTACTTCAACCTGCTGAAAATGCCTTCTGTCCTGGGAGAGGGTCACAGGACATGCGCATCAGGGACAGGACTGAGTTGTGGTGGCATGCTAAGATCTGTCAGTGGCTTAGAGGCCACCCTTGATTTTGTGTCTCATGGCAACAATCATGGTTAGTTATCCCACTTAACCCATGAGGAAACCAAGCTCAGAAGGGCAGAACAGCTTGTCCAAGGCCACATAGCTTGAACTTGACTTTGGGTTTGCATCTATGTAATTAGCCACAGTCCCTACAGAGTTTGGAGGTAGGGATTGATAGTGTTATGAGCCTGCCAAGGGCAAGACCTGATCAAAGCCCAGCACTGCCTGCTATGGGAAGAGCTAAGTCTTCCATTTGTTCCTGACTCCTCCATTTTTAGCTGTATGACCTTAGATAATCTGCTGACCCTTTCTGAGCCTGATCCTTCAAACACGTAAAGTGTCAGGTCTGAAGATGACCCAGGCGAACCACCGTCAGGTGTGTGCTACCCCAGGAACCCCGGCTGACACAAACCCCTCTCTAACCCCTCAGGGGGAGCACATCTGCCTGATCCGCAAGGTGAATGAACATTGGTACGAGGGGCGCATCACAGGCACAGGACGCCAAGGCATCTTCCCGGCCAGCTACGTGCAGATAAACCGGGAACCCCGACTCCGGCTCTGCGATGATAGCCCCCAGCTCCCTACATCACCTCACCTGACAGCCACTTCTCGTCTAGCCTGTCACCCCAGTTCCCCCTCAGTGCAAGTGGACCCCACAGACTGGGGAGGTCGGACCTCCCCTCGCCGCTCTGGCTTCCCCTTCCCTATCAGCCTCCAGGAGCCCAGATCCCAAACCCAGGTAAGGTAGCCTGCTTCCTCACACTGCCTTCCTATCGTCTCACTGGTCCACACTGGTAATCCTTCCTGGACAGTCTCCAGACAAAGAAGCAGGGAGCTGGGCAGAACCTAACATGGCTCTGTCTTGATTTGGCCCTAATCCTCTTGAGGTTGTTCTACTATTTGGTCCTCTCCAGCTCAGAGAGGCATGGGTAGGATCTAGCACTCTGTGGAACCCCAGCCAACTAGGGTAATGAGCTAGGCCTCCTGAGCCTCCAAGATGCCACTTTTTTTCAGTGTATGTCTTTGGCAAGTAGTGTTAGGTATGGGGCTCTGATATTTGCTAGCTGTGTGGCCCACAAGCAAGTGGCTTATACTCTCTGGGTTTGCGTCTCCTTCCAGAGGGAGTTCCCACTGGAGAAGATTGATGGGTAGGTCCGAGCAAAGGTGTTTGGCAGCCAGCCCTTCATTGTGTACTTAGCCCTGGGTCCACATGTTCACCCAGCACGCCTCTCTGAGCAGGTACAGCTGCTCCTGGCTCCTCCTTGGACCCATTTTGTCCTTGGTGCTGCTCACCCTGCCTGGGGCCTGGGGCCTGGGGCCACAGTCAAGTCCCTCTGAAGCGAGCTCGTCAGAGCCCACCTTTCTGGGCCTGGGAGTTTGATGAGACGGCATGGAGGTTACTTATCAGGCTCTGTGGGACTCATGACCTGCCGCTTCTCCCTCATGCCTCCTCTTTGTGGCCCTCCTTGCTTCCCACGAACCCCCAGAGTCTCAGCTCCCCTGGACCAGCCCTGTCCCATCCTCGAGGCACCAGCCGTCCCGTAGACCCGGGGGCCTCCTCCCCAAGCACCACAGAAATACACTGGACTCCGTGAGTACCAATTAAGGATGCTCGCCCAGGGTGGGAGTTGCTGGCAGACAGTACTGATCCCAGGTCCTACCCTCCTTCACCTATAGGTTGAGGAAACCCCTAAGCAAAGCTCGTCTTTGGGTGCTTAGGCGATAGGGAGAGGATACCTGGAGTGACAACTCTTGGTAGAACTGCCAGCGGGTGTGGGAAGGAGCCCCAGGCTCTGGCTGCCACGCTGCCGTCTCCCACAGGTACCGGGCTATGTACCAGTACAGGCCCCAGAACGAGGATGAGCTGGAACTTCGTGAGGGGGACCGTGTGGATGTCATGCAGCAGTGTGACGATGGCTGGTTTGTGGGTATGTAGCCTGTGGAGGGGAGGGCAGGCCAGAAAGAGGAATCTTAGGGTCTCCCTGAAGACTCGAGACACCCCCACCTACCTTCTGTCCTGGCCCGGGGAAAACTGCCTCAGGGTGTGCTCAGTGATAGAGTCACATTTGGGACAGGACTCCTGACTTCCAGACCCCTGCTCTCCACATGCCACGGCTTCCTCAAGTGGGTCTAGCATCCAGGGTCTCGTACTCTGCCCCTGCCCGCTCCCTACAACCTGGGAAACAATATAATATCCCAGCCCTTCACGACTGGCCCAAGACATTGCACTTTAAGGACTAAGACCTGAAGCCTCACGCTGATCTTGTCTGGTGCCGGGTGACCTACCCACTAGACTCCCCAAAGTGGGCAAGCCTTGTATTCCCTTGGCTTCAAAGGCGAGGCCAAGGAGAGACGTGAATGGCTAGAAGCTCTGCCTCCTAACAAGCAGACTTTGGGGCCCAAAGAACCGAAGCTCTGCCTGGGCGGAGGTGTCATAGGAATAGACCCTTTGGTGATATGGTCTCCTCCTTCTAAGATGATTTGCCATGGCTCAATGCCAGCCACGCTTCTCACACCACAGAGGTTAGCAGCCCTTACGTCTCATTTTACTTGTGCGCTTTTGCTGTTGAATTTCTTTTATACCACGAGTGAAGTTTTGTAGATTTGTATAAACAAGAAGGAAAGCACACCTTTCTGCAGTCGAAGTCACAATGCTCTGGCCTGTGCTGTCTGGTATAGTATTCAGTAGCCACATGTGGCCACTTACATATAGATTAGTTAAGGAGAACGAAAGGCCCAGGCCTCTTCTTACTAGTAAATTCCCCCCATCACCCCAGGACGCTTGCCTCTCTTGGGGTCTCAGCAAGCAAGAAGTCTGACTTACCATCCCAGCTCTGCCCCTAGACAGAGCAGTGCTCATCTCTGAAATGAAGGTGCTTTACTAGATCAGTGAGTTCTGCTCCATAGAATGTCTGTGATTCATCTTGCCCATTCCTGGTTTTCTCAGGGACGCGTGGAGTTAGTGCTGTGTGCAAAGTTGTCTTCATTGGTTGGTTTACAGGTACAGCTTTGCTTGTCTCAGCTTGTGCCGCCGCTAGGGGGCAGGAGTGAGGAGAGGAAAATCGAGTCCTTTCCGTGAGAACCTGGTTCCACTTTCAGTTCCAGGTCCCGTCAGCGGAGGGCGCGCCCTAACCCGCGTAACCCGTCTTTCCTTTCTTAGGTGTCTCCCGGAGAACTCAGAAATTTGGGACATTCCCTGGAAATTATGTAGCCCCGGTGTGAGTGATCTCCGTGGCAATTTGGAGCCAACGAGGACGAGGTGGGGGAGCAGTAGCACTATGGGAGGGAGAGAGGCCCCTCCCACGTCATCCTCCCCCCAGGACCTGCGCTCCCAGCATCTGCAGCGAGACCCCAGCAATCTTCCCTCCAAGCCCCCTCGAAGTCCCCTGGACTGATTCCCACCCGCGCGTCACAGGCATTTCTTTGAGAGCACCCCCCCTCACGACCCCTCAAATACAGACGTCTGCTCTGATGTGGAGACTGCCTACCGGCCTTATTGAGACCAGACCCCCAGGCTCCCAACCCCCCAGCGTTTCCCCTAATGGGGACTGGCTCTTGCTTCACCCCCATGGGGTTCCTCTAATAAGGACCAGCCTCCTACCCTGGTGGAGACCAAAGGCCTCCCGCTTCTCACCAGCTTGTCCGCCACTTTACCTTCTGGCTTCCAGCTGGGCCTGGAAAGAAGGTTGTGAACACCTTGTCAGCCTTCAAGGCCCAGTGAGAGGCCTTGCCTCAAGACTTTCTCTTCCCAGAGGCCACTGACCCCCTGGGTAGGGCCTCCACTTATACTCTGAGCCCTCCAACTAAGACCCACAACTGCCCGGACCTATCAGAAGATAGATTTCCAGGGAGACATGCTTGCTGCCCTAATTCCCAGCTCCTCCCCAGTATCTAGGTCCCCTCCTGAAGAGAATGTAAAATAAACATGGATACCAGAGACATGTCTGCATCGTTTTCCTTTTGGTGGGTGTGTGGGGGTAGGGAGGACTCTGCCCATTTCGTATTGTGGGATCTTTCTGTCATGGGTTGTGGCTCAGGGCAGGTGGGCCAACTGTAGTCTGAGGGAAGTTAATCACCATTGTCTCCTGTCTCAGCAGGGATGACAGGCAGAACGGAGCAGTATCTGAGGATCAAGTATCCGACCAGAGATGCTGAGAACTAATGTCAGTGGGGACAGGACAGGGCCTGATGGGAATGTTCAGAGCTGGGGACTGACAGGTGTTCCCGATTCCAGAGCTGTTAACCATGCGGTTGCTGAACTTGGTGACATGTCCAAGTGTTCCCCACTAATGTCCCCCACTAACGCTCCATTTCCACACCGGACTCTCGTGTTTTTCTTCTCTGGGCTCAAGTTTTTGAGCATTCACTTTAGGGAGGCTGGGAGTGGGGAGGGCAGAGCTAGTCAAAGCAACTCTTCTCACCCAAGGGCTTGGTGGCCTCTGGGGACATTAGCACATCCTGGGACTGGCCTTTCCTCCAGAAAAGGAAAACTCCATTCTCTTTGCTGTTGAGTCAGAGTCTAACTATGACCCAGGTTGGCCTGGAACTGGAGATAAATCTGCTTCAGCCTCCACTACAGCCACCACGCCCACTGATGGGAAGCTCCATTCTTAGGCTGTGGCTGACCGTTGAGCAGGCAGTAAGGGGCTACACCCGTGCCACCCAACCTGAACACTACACCTATTAGACAGGAGAGGCCATGTCCTGGTTGGAGGATGGAGTCGGCTCAACCTCATCGGATGCATCCCATCTACCAAGTACCCTGGCGGTCCCTGTTCAGAGGCCCCTGGAGGAGGACAGTCTCTTAGGGATGACTCTGAGGTGGCCTAGGGTTGGGATGCTTCTATGGGCTCTTCCTGGTACTCCTGTACCCTTGGTCTGTCACTTAAGGTGTTTTTACCCGGGGCGAGTGGGTAGAGCTGGTGACTGGCATGAAGCAGTATGTCTGGTTTTGTCAGGGCGGGTGAAGCCGAGGTGTATAGGGCAGTGGCCTGGCCGTGGCTGGTCTCTTGAGCCTGGGTGTGGCTTGGACGCCGGCCAGGGTGGTTAAACAGCTGCTTGCAGAACGAGACCTGCGTGCCCTTATGCCCTCCATTCAGTTGCTGCACCCAGTGCTCATCTTGGTCTGGTTCCAAGCCTAGAAATGACAACTCTCGAGGGCCCTGCTGGCCTGCTTTTGATCCCCCATCCTGGCTTGTTTTATGTCCCTTGGTGCCTTCATGAAACATTTCAGGGTTGAAACTTTGCCTGGGCAGAAACCGAGTCTCTTTGATGAGGCCCCGGGAACCTCTCTCCCAGCCACCAGGCACCACTTGAACACCTCGGCCTGGTGAAGAGAGCCCGAGGCTGTTGGGCCCATCAGACAGATGAAGGATGTGACTTGCACCCAGTACCTAGAATCATTTAGAACAAGACAGGTCCTTTCTGAATGCCAGAGTCATGCCTTTGGTCAGCTGACTTTGTAGTGGGAATTCGCCAATACTCCACCTAGAGTAGGGAGGCCTGCCTGTAGATGAACCTGTACGTGTTTACAGAGCCTGTCTGAGGCCCCTTTGAGGGTCTCTGAAGACAGTACGGCACAGTACCTGGCACACAGTGGGTGGCCAATAAAGGCTTGTTAACGAATGTTGTTTGAATCATTGATCGGATAAAATGAAGTGAATTCTTTTCTGCTGCCTCCTACCAAATCCTTCACCTTTTATGCTTTGTAATCCTTGAACTTCTCCTCTGGGAAATCACCTGTATAGTAGCAGGGTAAGATGGAGAAATGGGGGCTCCGAGAGCTGTGGAAACCGCCTGTCCTGGTTTCCTATCTCTGTTGCTGCCATGGAACATTGTCACAGTCAGGGTGTCTCGCGCTCTGTTAGAACATGACCGAAAGCAACTTGGGGAGAAAAGGATTCATGTCAGCTTACAGTTCCACAATACAACACATCATCAAAGGGCCTCAAGGCAGGAACCGCAGCAGACTTAGCAGAGGAACACTGCTTCCTGGTTTGTTCTTTGCAGCTTGCACAGCCTGCATTACTTATACCTGTCAGGGACCCCTGCTCAGGTGTGGAACTTTCACACAGGACGGGGGGGGGGGGCCTGCATCAGCCGTCAAGAAAATGCCCCTCACAGACATGCTCATGGGACAATCTGGGCAAGCAACTCCTCAGCTGGGGCTCCCTCTCTTACATAACTCTAGTTTATGTCAAGTAGACAAACCAAAGAGCACACTGCTCTACAGCACACAGCTAAAGGCAGCTGTGGCACTTAAGAATAAGGCACTGGGATCCCAAGGCAGACCATGCCCTATCTGAGGCCTCCTGCTCCAGAGGTTTCCAGGGGGAGCGTAAAGAGAGGTTACATCCAGGTCTAGGGCCTCTTGTTCAATCCCCATCACCAAAACAAACAAACATAAAAGGCTTCCCAGCTAGCTGGGGAGGGAGAGCAGGTGCAGCAGAGAAATGGCCCCTTGGATTAGTCGGTGGTAGAGCCATTTACCTGCCCAAGAGGTAGTTGTGGGAGGTGGGGCCAGGGAGGTGACTGGAGGCGAGCTGACTGAATGGGAAGTGCAGGGACCGTGAACCACGCCAGCGCTTTGGAGGTGAGGAGGATGGTGAGGGTGGCAAGGGCAATCCTCTCGGGGAACTCGGAGAGAATGACTCACACCTGAGGCAGGCAGGTTACAGCTGTGTCCACAGGTGTGCTCCTCGGTGTGCCAAGTTGTAAGAGCAGCTGAAGAGGCGCAGGAGGCAGCTGCGTGGGTCCCGAACTGCCCAGGGCAAGGGTTGTGAGGTATAGCTCTGGGGGATCCTCTGGACAGATGGCTCCTCCTTCTTGGGTCTGTACCTGTCTTCTTCCCCCACTGCTCCGTTGGGCTGAGCCCAGGAGCCTAGTAGAAGGGATGGGGCAGACAGGGTCCTTGGTGGTGGTTGGAGCTGGCCCATGCCAGGCAGGATAGCTGGGAGAGGAGGTGCCTGGTGACCCTGCCAAGCGCTCTCTATCTCTGGATCTGGGCATGCCTTTCTGCTCTGGGCAGGCTTGGCTTGCGGGGTATCTGAGGCTAAGTCACTTCGCTGGCAGCACAAAGCCATCAGCGAGGCGTCTGCCCGGGAACAGATAGGAGGGTGGAGAGATGGCTCAGGTTTGGAGTTTGTGAGTATCGGGCAGCAGCTGCTCCAACATCGGAGCTAGGAGTTGGGCAGAGGAGTCGGGCGGACCACAGACGGGTCCACCATATCAGCGGTTGTCTGATAGAACCCCAGATGCCTCGGTTCCCTTTCCTATTGTGGGGTGGTAAGAAGTCTCCGTAGTCTGCGCTTGGTGGGGAGGGTCTGTCATTTGAACCGCTCCCCTGTACTCAGAGACAGTACGGAGGATGCCGGCACCTTGGAAGGGTCTCACTCTAGAGATGACTCAGGGAGAGTCTGCTGCCCCCCACGCCCACTCCAGCTCCCCAGCAAGACACGGGCCAGGTGGCGGCGCCCAGGCTCGGCAGCGCAGAGGAGGCGGCTTCCCGGGCCAGGGGCGGCGGCAGGGGCGGCCCCGGGATCACATGGGCGGAGGCAGGTCCCGGAGCCCCGGGCGAGCTCTCCCTAGAGTCAGACAGACGGCTGCGGTGAAACGGCGGCGGAGGCTCCTCGTCCTCACTCCCTCCGTTCTTCCCTCCCTCCTTCCCTTTCCCGGCGGTCCTGGCCGCTCAGCGGGACAGGCGGGCGGCAGCCAGGTGAGCGCGCGCCCACCTGCACCCTCCACGGGCCACCGCCCTCGGGGATCTCCGCCTCGTCGGACCCTACCCTCGGCCCAAAGCCCCTCTTCCCTGAAGTTTCCTTTCGGCTTGGGTACCGAGTGGCTTGGATTCGCCTTTGACCCAGACACTCGTCCTCCAGTCCGGAGCCTCCGGGGTACTTTGGCCTTTGGTGGGAAGAAGGCTTGAGGACTGTGCTGGGGACAGCCAGGCTGACGCGCTAGGCTAGGCAATTCCCGCAGCAGCATTCGCAGCCCTGGGTCCACTGGTCGGCTCAAAGGTCTGAGAATCTCAGGGCGTTTGCAGACTTTCAGCGATCAGCCTGAGGCACGGTGGCTGGGGCTGGGTAAAAGGGAAAGCCAGTTAGTTGCCTGAGGAAAAGACTGTGGAACTGCTGGTCTGGATAACCCCCTCTCGTAGGCCTTGATGTTCTTGAGATATTGGACAGTACTTGCTGACTCCGTATCTCCCCAGGGACAGCCTCAGGATGGGTGCTGGGCTGGGTGGTGCCAAGCCTGGCATTGCAGCTTCCTGCCTGGCTTGACTCCTGGCTCCAAACCTAGAGGCTCAGGAAATCCTAGGAGGGCCTGATCCACAAGGACACTCCCTTGTGGGGCAGAGGGGGCTGTGGATGGGAAACTTGTGGCCAAACTGGCAACATCATGAACTTGCCCTGCTGGCCAATACCAGGGTCAGTGTGGGTGTGCCTCCCTTGGCAGATGAGCCGTGGCCTCCTTGCTCAGGCTGTTCAGAGGGCAGCAGGCCCCCAGAGGAGGTAGCAAGCTTCCTCTTGCTCATCTGAACCCCTTGTCAGGGCAGGGCAGGTAGCCAGATTACCCCTCTGGAGTCCTTGGTCTGATACCCCCCAACCCCAGGCCTGGCTAACTTATTGCAGTCTGGTGGGGCCCCAAGGCTTGCTGTCTGTCTGTGTGGAAAGCTCAGCTCTACACAGAGTACACAGAGCAAGTAGGAAGTATCTCTGTGCTCTTGGTTTTGGGGACAGGAAACAAGCCCTTGAGGTAGTGAATGGGGGTGGGGCAGATAACTCCTACCACCTGCTAATTCCTTCCCCACTATTCTCCACCATGCACTTGCAGGAGAAAGTCTGGCAGCCTGCCAGTGGGCCTGCTACCTCTCTTAGGGGATCTGCTAGACCTAAGACCCTAGAAGGGGGAACTCAGAGTCAAGGCCTCCCAGGGTGGGGGGAAGTGAAACTCTCCGGGGAGGGAGGGACTTAGTCACTTCCTCTACCCCCCATCACCCAGGCCCAGGCCCTACTGGGTAACTCTGAGACCTGTCACCTTCTTCTCCCTTTCCTTTTGGGGTGTGTTGTGGGAGTGGATCCCACCTCCCGGTTCCTCTCTTCCCCAGGCATGGCGCTGACTGTGGATGTGGTGGGGCCAGCACCTTGGGGCTTCCGCATCAGCGGAGGCAGAGATTTCCACACGCCCATCATCGTGACCAAGGTAAGGACTGTCTTTAGGAGATAAGAAGCCAGCTACCCCCCAGAAAATGAGGGTCCTTCTCCCAATTTGTCCTGGAGCCTGAGGCTTGATCTGGGCAATGTTGGTGTGTGTGGTGGGGGCGGGGGTGGAGACAGTTATGTTCTGTTGTCATGGCTATGTGAGGTCTCCTTCAGGAAGGCCATTGGGACCCTGGACCCTACAGTCTTGAAACTCACACCTGTTGGCGGTCATGTGGGGGTGGTTACATAGGACAAGCTCTTCTGCAAGTTCTTGGTAGGTTGGGAGTTTCTTTTCTGCCCAGGCTCAGGCCCAGGTCCTGACTGGAGAACATTCATAGCCAGGGTGGTATTTAGTCAGCCACCTGCAAGGTATGATTTGCACGGGCAGGGTTCTCTGTCCAGAAGTATTCCCAAGTCCGGTTCCTGACATTCTGCCATCACATTCCTTGGGAGTTTGTGTTTAGGTGTGTGTGTGTATGTATGTGTGTGTGTGTGTTGGGAGAGTAGGGAAACCACTCAAGCCTGTGAGGAATTAGCTGGCAAGCTGGCAGCTGAGGAAGGAAGAGAAAAAGGTGGTAGAAGCACAATCCTGCTTCTGCACCTCCTGGGCAGCAGCAGGAGGTCCCTAGGGCTCCAGCCTTCTCAAGTATACCCCTACCCAGGGTGGGTACTGAGTACCAAAGGCTCACCAGCCAGCATCTGGCTCCTCATCCCTATAGGTAACAGAACGGGGCAAGGCTGAGGCAGCAGATCTCCGGCCTGGCGACATCATTGTGGCCATCAATGGAGAGAGTGCAGAGAGAATGCTCCACGCTGAGGCCCAGAGCAAAATCCGACAGAGTGCCTCCCCACTGCGACTGCAGCTGGACCGGTAGGCCTTCCACCTCCACTGGCTGGTCCTGCCACCTTTCTGCTCCTCCCTTGTCCACTGCCATCCAGGCAGCCGCCCTCAACCTGGCCTAGAGGCCCAGTGGAGCCCCATCCCAGTCTTCCAAGACTCTTTGGGCATGTGAGAAGTGCTCAGCCCTGGGCCTATGGTATGGAAAAGGAAGGTGTCCCAGTGACTATCTGGTAAAGGTGGGCGCCAGGCTGGGCATGCAGCCACAGGCAAGGTGGGGCAAGCTGGCACCAGCTACCTGGAAGCCCGGGTTTGACTGGTTCCCAGGAGTGTGAATGGCACAGGGTGTGGGCATGAAGTGGTTTGAAGAGAGGAAACTTCGGGGCAAGGTGTACCCTAGGCCGAGTCTCCAGTACCCTTGTCCCTGAGAGGTGGCTTTTTTGTAGATTCAGGTGGAGATGGGAATTGGGGACTCACAACTCATAAGAGTTTATTGTCCCTTCCCATCACTGACTTGGGCTTTGCCATTGACCATGGGTCCCTGCACTGGGGAGGTTTGTTGAGGGGGGGGGGGGGCGGACAGGTGGCTTGCTGCTCAGGATGGAACATCACAGTGAGTCACAGCTCAGGAATGCTGGGAGATTCCTTGGTCCAAAGGCCCTCTGGGCAGGCCAGGAAACGAGTTGGATATCTTCTGCTTTTCTCTCTGCCTCTGCCCAGCGTTCTCTGGCCTCTGCACTACTCCTTACCCGTGGGCCCTGCTGGTAGGTAATGCTGAAGAGGCAGGCTCCCATGATAACGGCCCTCACCATGCCATTCTGTCCCTGAGTGTTTGCAGGAGGGAGACCTAAAGGAGGAGGGTGGAGGGGGCCTCATGGCATCTGGGAATGGGACCAAAATCCACAGGAGGCTGCCATCAGGGGAAGATCTGCAGACAACATTGCTTGCTATTATATTAGGTCCTTCGTGGAGGAACCTGGCCACTGGAGATGTGGGCCTGACCAGCCAGCCAAGGCTCAGAGGGTCTTCATTCTTTGGCCAGGAGCCCCCCACCCCACCCCAGTCCTCCTCCCTCCTCTCTCCAGGAGGCATTCAGAAGTTCTGAGGCAGACCCTCCCCTCAGCCCGACCTTGTATCACGACCCCTGGTTCCAGGAGACAAAGACTCCCTTCTGGCCAACATCTCCAGAAGGGGCCAAAGGCCCAGGAATGTAGTAATGATGAATGGGTCCTCCCTTCACCTTCACCTGGGATCGCCAGGGACCTCCCACTCTAGGTTCCTGCCAGTTCCACTTGGGTCAGGGGGGCCTCTCTGGCTAGTTGCTGTTGGTTGCACATTGGACGCCGATCCTTGTCATAGCCTCGGTCTCCGGGTCCTCCAGATGGACCTAGGCAGGTCCTTCCCGCCTAGAAGGGAAGAGAAGCCTGGTCCCACCCTTGGTTTTGCTGGGCAAGGAGTCTGGGAAAGGAATTCCAGTGACCTTCCCAAAGATATTCTGGCCGTTAGTAGAGCGGCTGGTAGGGACAAGGCTATCAGTGGGGAGAAGGTTCTGGGTCAGCCGAAGATGGGCTTTGGGACTCAGGACAACTCATTTTCCTTCTGTGATTTTAATTTCTGCACAATTTAAAAGATGAAGGGTTATTGCTATGGAACTAGCCATCTTCCTCCAAATTGATCTCAAGCAGGCGTTGTCTGGAGACTAGATGAAATGGATGGAAGCAGGGATGTGGGTCATGGAAGGAACCTCTGATAAGATGGATTTATGAAGCCTTCTGCTGAAACTGTCCTTTCTGTTATGGTGCTGAACCTGAGAGGGTTGCTGGTGGTGGTTGATGGGAGTCATTTGTTTTGAATTTAACAAAGTTGAGAGTCCGATGTCCAAGTGTCCTGGATACTTGGCTGGTCTTGAGAACCGGGACTAGGAACAGTGTTCAGGATGGGGATGTCTAGGACCCTATGATAGACAGTCTCTCTCTCTTGTCCCTTAGGTCCCATCCTACCTCTCCTGGGCAGACCAATGGGGAGGGCTCCTTGGAAGTGCTGGCAGCTAGATTCCAGGTAAGATGGGTGCTTCCAACTGTGAGCGACAGCACCCCCCAAGTCACCTGAGGGGGTGCAGTCATCAGGGTCATGCCAACTCTCTCTTGGCCCTTCTCCACAGGGCTCCCTGAGGACACACCATGACAGCCAGTCCTCCTGGAGATCTGCATGTCTGAGCCCAGCCTCCCTCAGTTCCAGGCCAGGCAGCCCTTTCTCCACTCCACCCCCCACCAGTCCACTTGCTGCTTCTGGAGAGGATGTAATTGGCCATAGGTGAGCTCAGTGAATGGGTGCCACCGAGTCTAGGCCTGGCCCCATCCGAGTCTCAGTTGCTATGTGTAGGGAACCCTGGACACCCCCTCTTCCTCCCTGGGGCAGGCTGTGTGGGTTCTGCACCCACACCATCCCCCCTCCTTTCCAATTTCAGTTTTCAGAGTCTGACACACTCTTCAGGCCTTGCTGCTACTCACCACTTGTCTTACCCGGGCCACCCCACCAGCCGACAGGTGAGGCTTCCTGAGGGAAGATGTCTCCCATGCTACTGGCTGCCACTGGTGCCTCTGGCACTAACAGCAGCTGGCAATACCTGAACAGCCTGTGGGACCATACCCCTGTGACAGGTACATTACACCCCTGAGCCGGAGAGGCTGACTAGCGCTGGGGTCACCATGCATTCCTCGCTCCTGTCGCTCTGGCCCCCTCCATCGCATTAGCTTCCTCCCTTCTCGGTGTGTTTCTTTTGGGCTGTGGCTGAAATAGTTTTGCTGCTGTCGTTGGGATGAGTCCCACTCCGTGCTGGCTGCATCTCCAAAAGACATTCCTCCCCATCACAAGCCCCCAGCTCCCACCCCCAGCTCCTTGATCTCCTTCCACTCAGCCTAGAGAGCCTCCGAGGGGCTGTGGTTCTGTCTCATGCTGCTCTAGGCCAGATTTCTGTCCGCTCCTTCCTCTGTAGGACTCCTCCCCCACCCGGTCCCTCTATCCCTGTCACCACCGCTGACAGCTTAACCCCCAGGTGGTATTTCTCCTCCCCCAGGGCAGGGGCGGGGCAGTGAAATAGCGAGAAGGACAACAGTCCTGGCCCTCAGCTGCTGGGGGCAGAGTGGCTGGGGGCATGTCCGGCCTTTTGGGTGAAGGGGACAAGGCCCAGCTGCTGGAATCTTACTTCTGGGTTGGTTCTGCATTCCGAAGAGCAGGGCCTTTGGGGATGGAAGGTTCTGCATTCCAAAGAGCAAGATCTTTGGGGGTGGTAGAGGGAGAGGACAAAGGGGGGGGGCAGTCTGGAGAAGGAAGGGGCAGGATTTGTGGTGATAGGGCCATATGCCTACCCCAGGGCCAGCTGGGTGGGTGCTGCGGTCACAGAGCCATCTTTAAAGAATTTAAGATGTGGCTGTTGAGATAAGACAAACATGCCGAACAATTTTGAAACAATTAAGTATAGGACAGTGTGGGATTAATTACAAAAGCAGGAGGCATTCTGGAAAGGGAGAGAGAGGAGTAGTTTGGGTGGCCTGGGAAGGCTCCGCTAGGAATTTTGCTGGACTGGACAGTGGAGGGAGACTGGGGGTAGAGTTTCGATCAGAGAGTGATAGATGGTGACCTGAAATCCAAGGAGAAGGGGAAACGGGTCCCAGCAAGACCTGGCTGGTTCTGAGCCAAGGTGGAAAGGAGCCTGGATTAGAGCTGGTTGAAGCTTCCCTTTCCTGTCCCTGGTTTCCAGGGGCTGTTGGCTCAGCAGACCATGGGTGCTCACAGGCGTCCACCTGTAGCGTCCCACCTTCGCCAAACAGCAACGTAGCTTGGTGGTCTAGGAGGTGATTCTTGAGCCAACATCAGCCCCTGGGAATTTCTATGGGAAAACGCAGATTCCCGGGCAACTTCTTATAAATGCAGAGCCCCAGGCCCCAGTCTGGACCTGCGGCAGAGTGGGAACTGGAGGTAGAGAACAGGAACTTGTGTTTTGACAAGGCTGTCCACTAAAACAAGGTGCTGGGGGCATCAGGTGGTAGGCAGGTCCTGGCTGGTCTCTTTGCTGCTGCATTACCCAGAGCCGGACCCTCTTTCTCTCTGGTCCTCAGAGTCAGGCTAGATTGACCCTGAACACCTCTCACTCTTCTCTCTCAGCCAGCTGCTGCTTGTCAAGCACCCTCTGGGCCCTTAGGGATGCTTTTGTGGACAAATCCCGGAACTCCTCAGCCCCCAGGCTGTGCTGATAGGTGTAGGAGTCATGGGGTCCACGCTTCCCTCCTGAGTCACATCGCATTTTAGTTTCTCAGAGACTCCAGAGGAAAGCAGCACATTTGGTCTGATTAGGTTCCTCCAGAACTTCTCCCGGCTCTCGGCCCACCTCCGGTGTTTACCGTGAACATTGCTGTGTGCCCCATAGCGCATTCACTACAGGCATACTCGTGAAGGGCAGATGATGAGGAAGTAGCTTGTTGGACTTGGAAAGGAACCGAGGAACGTAGGGTCCTCGGTTGTCTGGGAGAGGCAGGTGAGGCAAAGGCAATGGCATTGACTGCCCAGGAAGAGTTCTGGGACGGAGCCAGCAGAGATACTTCCCTCTTTGCCATGGGCTCTTGACTAGCTGAGCCCTGAGAGCTGGGATGCAGGATATCTCTAGAGCCATTCTGGAAGCTGCAGGGTCCCCAGGTGAAAAACACACCTCTCCTCTTGCTAGGAATGAGAACGTGGCTCCAGAAGGTGCCTAGGCAGGAAGGATTTCCCCTCTTCCCCTTCCCCTATGCTATTCTCTGATGCAGGATACATGCTGGCCTGCTTGGCGATATGGCATTGCTCTTGAGGCCCTGAGAACGTTATCACAGACCTTCTTTAGTCCTGAAGAAACATCTAGGAGCTGGGCATAGAGTCCTGCCTCAGACCCACAGAAAGCTTGGGCCAGCCTCTGTGCCACAGAGTATGGTGGCAAAGGAATCCCAAAAGACTGGGGATATATTTCAGTTGGAAGAATACTTCAGGAACTCTACCCCAGGTTTCCCAGCCTGATTGGCTGCTAATGCCCCCCTCTCGTACTCTTCCAGATCCCATTGAGGGGTCACACTCGAAAGAGCACCCTCAGGTGAGGGCTGAAAACGGGTTTCCAGAGTTGACAGTGAAATAGAAATCTGGGTTTGAATGTCCCAGAGCAAATGCATGGATCAAGATTACTGCAGAATATGTAGCTGCTCATAATGCTTGGGAGGTGGCAGTAGGGGCAGGGCAGGCCCAGACCTCAAATGGTAGGAGGAAGGGGCAGCAGGTAGCATAGAGCCTACCCTGTTAGGAGAGCTGCGTGAAGGGCCCTGAGAGCCTGCCCAGTCCCATCTTGGCTCCAGGAGGGCTTAACCCTTTACACATTTATGTTTCCATGATGTTGTTGCAAAATGATTGGTTTCCAGGCTTGCTTGCTACTTTTCTGTTTCTTCCGTGGAATAGGAGGTTGGCCATATCTCTGCGGACAGGTTGCATGATCTAAGTGTGACAATGTATCTAAAGGGTGCCTGTGTGGAGTTCCCCATCTAATTGTCCTGCTCGGCTTCTTGTGGGATCCCTAGGTGTAATAAGCATCTCTGCAACCCGGCGCTGGCCTCTCTTCCCTTTCGGATCCCATCCTCCCTGGGGCCTTCACTGAGGACCGGGATAGGTTACCTGACACCAGCGGGTCATTGGAGGCCAGGCGCCCCCTAGTGTTGGTCTTGGGAGCAGCATCTGGTAATGCACAGGGACGTGCTGTGCCGGTCACTGGGGGTTGGGCCTGACTCCTCCCTTCTGCTCTCTTCCCTCAGGCCGGCCACAGCAGCCCAAGCGACTCAGCAGTGAGGGTGCTGCCACATTCCCCAGGACCTCGGTCCTCCAGCCCCAGGTTCAGGTACCAGTAAGTCCTGCAGTGTTGGGTGGGCTCCTGGAGGGTCTGGAGGGGACGGGTTTCCCTGAGAGGGATGGGAGTCTCCGCCTCTTCATCTTTCCATACTCCTCTGCACTGGGGTGTGTCCCAACACTCTGACACAGGGTCCTCATTCCTAGCTGTTGCTTCCACAGCACCTTCGATCTGGAAGAGGACTCGGAGGTGTTCAAGATGCTTCAGGAGAACCGCCAGGGACGAACCGCCCCGAGGCAGTCCAGTTCCTTTCGGCTCTTGCAGGAAGCCTTGGAGGCTGAGGAGAGAGGTGAGGCCTCTATGCTCTGGGATGAAGTAAGGCTCCATGGACTCCCTGGAGCGAGACCAAACAGGCTAAGGAAGTAGTTTAAGGTCCCATAGCACAACTAGGGAATTAAGGGAGCAGATGTCAGGCCCCAGTCGCTTTAAAGAAGTTTATTTTCTGGTTGGGATGTACAAGGTACCCCTAGAAGGTGGCGGGTTGTACCAGCTAGAGCCAGGACAAGGGAGTGATAAAAACAGGGACACTAGGCTAAGTCTCCAGGCTTCTTGGGAGAAGAGGGGTTTGATTTGGCCTGGAAACAGAATCCGAGATTCCAACAGCCTTAAGACAGTGGCCTGGCTGGGAGCACCATGGAATGTGGAGGCAACCAGAGAGCTTTGGGTTAAGAGAAAATGCCTTGGCCTGGCAGCATGGGAGAGCATCGAGGGGAGCAAGCTGCTGAGGCAAGGGCCCTGGGAGCCAGAACAAAGAACACTCTGCCACAAGCTATCGTACCAGGCAAGATAGCACTGTGAGCAACACAATGCAGCCTCCGGCCAGCTGCCCATTTACTCACTGGAAATACAACTGATGTGTTTGTTTATCCAGTGGAACAGATGTGTTGAGGCATAACCTGACTTCAACCCCTGAGGAGCTCCAGTTATTGGGGCTGTGGTCCCGGGAAGTTCCCACGGGAGTGGATACCCAAGCGGAATATATACTGCCCTCTAGGAAATCAGGAACGATGCACTTTGTGGTAGCAGATAGGAGCACGTCTTGTCCACAGGGAGGATGGGGAGGATGAGTCTGGCAGGACAGGGCGTAGAGCTTAGAACAGAATGGCCGGTTCCTGGTAGCTGGTTCTGACTCTAACGCATAGTGCTCACACGGCTGTTTGCTGGAACATAGAGAGCTAAGTAAGAAAGTTTTGGAACAAATCCTACCAATCCTGACTCTGAGAGGCCACAGGGAGATTGGTAGTCGTGGTGGTGGTGGTGGTGGTGGTGGGGAAAGAGTACAGACAGTCACTTCATGGGTGCCTTAGACTCTGAGCTGAGGCTTGGACAACAGCTGCCCAATGCCTCTGCTCTGTGCTTCATCTTGGTGTTTTCGCTGGCTCAGATGCAATGATGCATATAAAAACCCTTTGAAAAGGCTGTACAAAGACACTGTGGTGTGGTTACGACCTAGGACTGTCTGTCTGTATCATCATGACTGGCTCACAGAAAGAGAACACCTACTTGTTTATGTCACACACTAGGCACAGATGTTCCCAGGCTATTTTAGAAGGACAGGGGTTCACACCTGCCATCAGCCTTTGCCAAGGGTCTGCCCCACTCTCCTTCCTTCTTTACCTGTTTGCATACCCACTGGTACTTTAGAGATTCACGTGAAAGTATGCCTTTTGCCACAAGTGTGGGAGTGTCCTGGGGAGGATCTGAAGAGCGTCATAAAATGCCATTAAGTACAGCCCGATACCTCTGCAGGTAGGACAAGCAGCTCTCATGCGTCTGTCTCCTGCCCCTCCCAGGTGGCACACCTGCCTTTGTGCCCAGCTCACTGAGTCCCCAGGCCTCCTTGCCCACCTCCAAGGCCTCGGCCACCCCACCCAAACTCCACACCTGTGAGAAGTGCAATGTCAACATCTCGTGAGTTTTTGGAGGGCTGGGTGATGAGCATGCCTTGGGGGGCATGGGGCTTGTAGGCAAAGCCGGGCTGTTAGTCTGGGACCCTAGAGGGAACCGTGGCCAAGTGGCTTCATGTTCAGAATAAATGCTTGGCTGCTTCCTGCCCACCCTCACTTTCTCCCCTCTCCCCCAAAGGAATGAAGAATGTTACTGCTTTTGGTTTTTCCTACATATTCCCCAAGCCTCTGGAGATCTGCCCCCGGATGAGGCTCATCCCCCCCCCCCCTTCTGGAGAAGTTCTCCCTTCCCTGCCCCTGGGTTCATTTCTCAGTGGGTGGCAATGTAATTTCCTTCTCTCTGGAAGGAAAAAAAAAAAAGGAAAGAAAAAGAAAAAAAGAAATGCTGGTACCCCTCCGCCTATAAATGCCCAAACTGTGTCAAGGTGACTTACTTTGGGCCATTCCTTGACCTTTCCTGGTATGACTTTCTCATCTGCAGGACAGGATAGCATCCTGAATTCTGAGGAAAGTAGGTGGAAAGCTGGGGTGTAGGGGTGGCTCTCCCAGGACCTGCATCCCCATCCCTGGAGGACTTGGGAAGCACAGAGCACACAGCTAGCCCCAGGGTATCCGTTCTGATTTCACTGCCTCGTAGTGCTGACGTATTATGAGTTCTGTATTCGGGGTCACTCTCTGAGAGCCACAGCTCAGGGGAGGGTCTGCCTCAAACTATAGACTCTTGCCTACTTAATACTGTGATCGTGGACATGCGCTAGCACGCCTAGCTCATGTTCATTTTAATTAAACATTATTTGATCATGTCTGCATGAGTATGGAAGTAACCCTGGCATACATGTCAGGGTCGGAAGACAGCTTTCGGGAGTTGGTTCTCTCCTTCCACCGTGGCTTACGGGATAACACTCAGGTCTCTAGGCTTCTGTGGCAAGGGTTTCCGCCGATGAGCCATCACTCCAGCCCTTTTTTGTCGTTCTTGATTAGGGGGTAAAGTGAAATTCCTGGGAGAGGCTTGGGAGTCGAGTGCCTGAGGTATTTGTGTCTGAGGTTTTGACTGGCTGAGGAACAGGTTTCCTGGGAATGCCGACTTCATGCCAGGTCCTCCTAACTATCCCGCCTCCGTCCTAATGGCTTTCCTTTTCTGCAGGAACCAGGCCGTGCGCATCCAGGAGGGGAGGTACCGACACCCTGGCTGCTACACCTGTGCGGACTGTGGGCTGAACCTGAAGATGCGCGGTCACTTCTGGGTGGGCGATGAGCTCTACTGTGAGAAGCACGCCCGCCAGCGCTACTCAGTACCTGGCACTCTGAGCTCTCGGGCCTGAGTCTCGAGGCGCTCAGCCCGTCTGTGCTCTCAGCCTCTGCAGACAGGACCAACCACACTGAGAGCAAGCAGGGAGGGGTGATGGCAGGTGAAGGCTCTTACAGGAACTTAAGGTTGTCCTTGCTGGGTGAAACCAAGGGCTGGGACTAGTCTCAGGCTGCAAGTGCTGAGGACAATTCCACTCTCTGGCCTGCCTCCTGCAGGCCAGTTGCTGCACTGCAGCCTGAAATGGCCATTCCGTTGGACAGGTTTGTGTATAGGGTTGGGCACAGATAAAAGTATCCAGAAGGACAAGGTGGGCCTGAGGTTAATGATATTGGTGGTGTAAAGTTTATTTTGACATGTGAACTCGATATACATGTGGATAAAACGGAGTAGTGTCCTTTTTCCTTCTTTCCCTGTTGCCGAGAAGAAAGTCTTTGTTTATGGTTACCCCTTTATTTCCCCTTCCTTGAGCCCTACTTGCTATGCACCCCATTGCAGAGACCTGCTGCTTCTTCTTTTTTGTACCTTTGAGATAATATCCCAGACACCTCAGACTTATAGTTCTGCCTCCCGGCAGAACCAGATCCGACTAGAGTGTGTGCCCCACCTCATTCATTCAGTGGGTTCCTTCTTTAAGTTGGGGGTATATGCTTTCTTCTCTCTCTCTCTCTCTCTCTCTCAAAGATGGTTGTTTATGCTTGGAGGGAAGAGGTTTCTAGATTTCTTCTCTGAAGCTAGGAGAGACACAGGGGACCAGGAAGGACTGTCAAACACACCACAAACTCAGGTATGGGCGGAGCTAGACTGGGATGTGATGTGATCTTCATTCAGTGAAGATGCTACCAGCCTCACTGACTACCAGTGTAAGGAGATGAGCAGGACAGGCAGGAAGGGGGACCCAGTGATGGTGTGTGGGTGGGTGGAGGAGCTTGATCCTTTAGGCTTCTTGCTCTATTCGGATTGTGATTCATCGACCAAGGATAACCTTGGACCCGGGCTCCCAGGTGGCCTTGCTCAGGAAGGGCTGTGGCCTGAGACAGTCCGACAGAGCACTCATTCCAAGGTACTACCCACCAAGAGCTGGGTCTTTGGACCAGGCTGGTCTGCTCACACCTGAACCTCTTCTCCTGGCTCTCCAGGTGTAGCTGGATCACAGCATCCTTCACTGTGTGCAGTGCTTTTGAACAGAGAGGCGGTAGGGAGCGGTGATCCTATGCAAGCCCTTAATTTTTGATCTGATCTACCAGCCACCCTTAGTTTTAATCTCAGAGGACATTTCAGAATCTCTTCAGGTATTGTCGTGTGTTTCAGCCATGCCCGCTGTCAGCCTGGGGAGGGGAGGCATCTAAAGCTTTTTTAAAAATGGGATCAAAGCTGGCTATGGAGGGTGTGGTCTTGACGGCGGTCTTTGCTATCTGTCTCTTTGGAAAAGGAATTTTGGCAGAGACAGTGTTGCCTTCTTAGACACCTGTGTATATAATTTATACCTTGATATAATCATCTCACCTTTTGCCTGGATGGCTGCCTGAGGATGAGCCCGTATTTTTATAGAAAAGATCAAGGTTGGCTGGCTGAGTGGGAGTCTGTCAGGCTCAGCCCCTCGTTAGAAAGGTGTGGCCTCTTTGGCGCCATCTAGTGTTCAATGATCCCACAGCAAGGAAACTGCTCACAGAAGAGTAAATTCCTTAGAATTTGGGCTTTGGCTCAGTGGGCAGGCGGCAGACTAAACACTTTTTGACTTCGCCAGAGACAATGTTGAAGCAGCAACTATGGGTTGTTATCATAAAGTACAGTAACTGATAAGGTTGTCTTGGAACACACAAGGAGCTGCTGTATATTCAAAGCCGTGGCCATCTGAAAAGGGGCCGATACATATGTTGAGAGATGGGTAACTGCCAACAGGATGCCCAGCTGAGAACAGTGGCTGCTGGGGACTCTGTCCTAAGATCAAGAGAGTCTGAATACCAGGTGTGTTATGAACTTCACCCTGAGGCTTTGGAAAATGTTAAACGAGTAAGTGACAGGTTGGGAAGGCTGAGTTGGGTTGCTGATGTGGTTATATCTCCACCTGCAACAAACCAATGTGGACTAAAATATGCCACAAGGCGTGAAGGAGGACCAGGGGCAGGCTTTGGGGTTTGCCCCTTCTCTCATCCTTATCCTAAGCCAGCTAGCGGCGAGTCTCCATCCTCTCTGATCCACACACCCCTTTAGCAAACTGTACCCCGTATTTCTTTCTGTATTTTAGAGAATAAGTTCACAAATGACAGATTTGTTAAAAGTGGTCCAAACATCTAATGAGCCTCTCTTCAAACAAAGCTGGGAGAGCAATCAAAGTTCAAAGTCACACAGCAGGATAATAATGGTTATGACTCTAGGTCAGCGGTTCTCAACCTTCCTAAGGCTGTGACCCTTTAATACAGTTCCTCATGTTGTGCTGACCCCCCCCCAGCATAAAATTATTTGTTCCTACTTCATAACTGTAATTCTACTACTGTTATGAATCATAATGAAAATATCTGATATGCAGGATATCTGATATGCAACCCCTGTGAAAAGATCATGTGACCCGCAGAAGGGTTGCAATCCACAGGTTGAGAACCGCTGGTCCAGAGTATCCTGGATGTACTAAGGATGTTTGAACTGTTTGAACTCAGTCTCACAAATTAGAGACAAGTATCATTGTCACCTGTTGTTTGAATGTGGGAAGGGGAGGGAGGTCAGGAAAGGAACCAAACCAGAACTTGTCTTTGGGTCCTTGGCTTCACTTGTCAAGCATAGTGCTGAGTTTTCAGGAAGTCGGCTTCCTGAAATCGGGGTTTCCCCACCAGAGGCAGAAGGACCAAGGCCATGGATGGCCTGCTTCATGCTGCCACAAGCAGTTGAGTGGTGATGCTTCTTGCGATTCCCTCCGAGGGGCATGGTTTTCCAGGTGGGGGTGGCAGAGAAGAGACACAGACAGTGGCAGGTCACACACTGATGTACAACACGTTGGGTAGTGAAGAATTGGCAGGGTTCTGAGTTTGACGGGACATTAGGTGCGGAAGTCTGGCCCACCACATCAGACCCAGTTTCCATGAAGGCTGTGGCTGGTCAGACCTGGCCCAGTCTTGCACAAGGGGGTGGGGCCCTATCTGGGAGGGGAGTATCTGTTGGGGAGTGTACTTAGTGGGGTGTGTGTGTGGGTTCTTTGTGCTGAGCCACCGCATTCCTGCTGGCTTGGCTTCCTGTTTCTAGATGCATTCCTGTCCTGGTCACCACGGAGACTGCCTGGAATCTGGGCCTCACATTTTCCAAATTCAGGGAAAGATCAGACCAAGGGTCCCTCTCTTTACTTCCCCACAGTTTCACCTTGGAGGAGAAAGCCACCTGGCTTGGCAAGCTCTTCGCGGACCCCGAGAAAGCAGGACTGCCTGGCCCAGCATCCTGTTTCCTTCAATATATTTAAAGGACGGGGATGGGGGGTTGGGTGGGGCAACCAGAAGCCCTGGGAACTCATGCTGCAGGAAAAGGGCTTGGCCTAAACATCAAAGTCTGAAGATGGTAGAGAATTGCAATTCGGGCCCTCATCTTGAATGCCGGGTGCCTCAGTTTCCTGACTTTATAGTACTGAACTTCGATTGTCGGTGGCTCTCTGAAGAAAGAACCAGTGGAGAGCATTTGAGTATGGAGTCTAGGAAGACGGATGGAGAGGGCCCGGCACAGTTTCCTGGGCTATGACTCTAATGTCTCCTCCCTCCTCCAGAGAGCATCCTTATTTGCCTCTAGCGGATTTGAAGCCAACTGAGATTTTCCAGTTCGTATTGGTTTCTGAGAAAGGCGGTGTTTCCCCACATGCCCCCAGCATCATTTGGTCACCTGCTGGTTGACCATCAACTGCCGCCTGGACTCCTTTCAGAATGGGGTTGGGGTGGAATGGGACCGGGTCAAGGGTGATGGCTGCTAGGGTCAGGGAAACATTTAAACTTCTGCTCAGCCTCCAGGCAGCTCCAGGCTGCTGGCTCACCTCTTGCCCACTCCCTGCAGACCCAGCCACCACATCCTTGCAACTTTGTGGCAGCACCTGGATGAGACAGAAGCTTGGTCTGGATAGGGGGCTCATAAGTTGCTCAGGATACAGATTTTCCCATGGCGCAGAACCCTTCCCCCTTTCTGACAAGCTGAGGGACCTGCCCTCGAGTCACACAGCTGGGAGGCCGGATGCAGTCCTAGTCTGCCTTCTTCCCTCCGCCAGCGCTGTGGGGTTCCATTTCCTTCCGGACTGTTGTGCAGTGCAACTCCTGCACTAGCAGGTTCCAAACTGCAGCAGGAACGCAGCATGCAGGAGCAGCGGGAGCATGGGGGGAGCGGTGACCCCGTGCAGCCAGCCCTTTAGCGTCCTCGAATAGGGACACGACGACCGGGGTAGGGAGTCCCGGGTCTGAAGCTGCCGGGGTCAGCGCCCTCCACCTGCGCGCCGCGCCCCGCCCCAGCCTGCCCCGGCCCGCCCCCTGCGGGGAGTGTCCCGGGGGCCTCGCCCAACTGGGCGGGGAACGGCGGGCTGAGCTGCTTCGGCGCAACTAGGGACTTGCGGACGCCCGGGGATCGCTTGGGTGTTGCAGCGGTTGCTACGCCTAACCGGGAACGCACCATGCTGAGCCGGCGCCGCGTCTTTGCGGTGGAGCGACTTGGTAGCCGGGGTGAGTCGCGTTGCCTCCCACCTTGGGGTCGCCTCCGGTTCTCCGGCCCCGCCCGGGCGGCGCCCACCGGCCGCGCCCCCTCGCTTCCTTGCTTTGAAGGAGTCCAGTCCAGCCAGTGAATATGCTGGGGTCGCCTTGCACAGCGCAGATCCTCTGGGATTTGCAGGTTAATCACCTACTACCCGCATCCTACTGGTCCATGGGCTCCCTTTCCCCCTAATTCACCGTGTGAGACTTCTCCTACCCGAGGTTGGGTGACTCCAATACCTTGGCCTCAGCCAACAGTCCTGGAAGCCCCTTGGCGGCCAGAAACCCATTTCCCGGGGAAAGTCGCTGGGCATAGGTTTCCTGGTCCACTTCCTGAAGCAGAGGGAACGGGCTGGCATCCTCTTCCCGCCAAAGCAGCCCTGGCTTCTGCCCGATTCCAGTAGACCTCCCAGGCCACAGTAGAGCCGGGCACAGAGATGCTGATGAATGGATGCTGGCCACAAGAGTGTGGGGGCTCATGCCTGTAATCTTAGCATTTGGGAGGCCAAGGCGGGAAGGATGTTGGGAGTTTCAGGGCAGTTTGGGCTACAGAGTGAAACACTTTCAAAAACAAAAGTCAGTTTCTTTGTTTTACTTAATTTATATTTTTCCTAAAGAATTTGGACTTTTGTGTGTTTTACCTGTGTGGTCTGGCCAGGGAGGTCCAAAGAGGGAACCATATCCCTTGGAACTGGAGTTGTGAAGGTCCACGTAGGTGCTGGGCATCCAGCACCCCCAGCACCTATCTTCTGAACAAACAGTGCTTTAAAATACTGAACCATCGAGTCAACCCCATTTCCCCCCTTTTGTTCACATGATCATTCTTTCTTAATAGACAAAAATCCCCAAATGAGTATAGTTGCTGTCATTTTGTTATTTCTGTTCTGCAGTGCAGGGATGGAACCCAGTGCCTTGTGCATGCTTTGAAAGTTGTCTCTGTGTCACATTCCAGCCCTAGCTGTTGTCATTTTTAATCACTGTCCCCACAATCTCCAGGAGATACCTCATCCTGCTTCCTGGTGTGTCAAGGGCTCCAGACAGCACTATGTGGTCCCGACCTTCCCCTCGCTCTTTCTTCCTCCCCCATCCAAGGAGTCCAAGGCTCTCCACTTAGACTTGAACATTTCAGGTAGAACCTAGTTAAGGGTCTATTAAGCCATCCATATTGCTGATTGTTACGACTTGCAACGACTTTTTGCCTACTGCATGCCCAAAGTGTAGGTTCCTGCCTGTTGACAGCAATTATTATAAGGAGAATCTCATCTACACATCTTCCAAGCCGGGATAGAACCATATCCCAGTAGGGCTGTGGATAGCCTGTGTTCTTGCTCACTACTGTTATAGGACAAACCTCCTCAAGGGAATGCTGCCAACTGCTAGGAATGCTGGGGGCACTGAGGGCAACCTGCCCAGCCTGATACTGACTCTCCTTACAGACGGGGCCTTTGAGGACCGAGCACAAGGCTGTGTGGTGCCAGGAGTTACCTGCACCTACAGACGGATACCAGATAAAACTCATGGATGTTCACTGGACTTCAAAGAAGGACAGATGCCACTTCTGAAACTGGCTTCCCAGGACTCAGGCATGGAGACGGTGGTTGAGGACAGTCCGTTGGCTACCTTGTCGGGAGTTTCTCAAGATTCTCTGAACCTTGAACCCATGGGAAGCCCTGAGCTGCCTTCTGCCCAGCTAGACCGGCTGCTGGCCCGACAGAAGCTGGAACGGGTGCTGGAGAGGTCTCGAGAGTTTCCCAGCTTGTCCCGCAGGCGCTGTTCCCTGCAGCTGCTGAGCAAGCCTGTAGGTGGAGTGCCCATCTTTGCTGGGGAACTAGAATCCACTGAGGCAGACCCTGAGCTAGAGGCTGGTCTGGAAGAAGCAAAGGTGGTGAGTGTTCATCTTGGCTGAAGACTGGGGTGGAGAAAGCCCTGCTGTGGGGTTTGTGGGGACCCTCCCCCATTTCCCCTGGAGCTCTCTCGGGGTGGAGCGTTCCTTGCCCCTAATTGATGGTTGTGTCACTGCTTCTTGCTTCACCCTGAACCCAGCGGTAGGTAGCCACCCCCACAGAGGAAGTAGACAGGAATGGGTGCCGTGCTCAACTGGGCACCGAGGAAGTCAGCCAGGTGTGTCTTCCTCGACTTGTCCTGCTGTGTCGTATTTTGTTGGTTCAGCATAGCCTGACTACCCAGGATGGGAGTCTTGGATGAATCTGGAAATCTTCCTGTCTTAACATGTCCTGCAGGTGGGTGATATGGAGTCTGAAGCATTGACCTGCCTTCCAGGGCAGGGTTTACGTTACCTGGAACACCTGTGCCTTGTGCTGGAGCAGATGGCGAGGCTTCAGCAGCTGTACCTGCAGCTGCAGACCCAGAGGCCCTCTAGGGTGAGTGATGGACAGGTACAGGTGGCTAGGTCAGGTAGCGAGGGAGGCAGGGACAACGGCAAGCATGAATACCTCCCGAGCAGCCCCAGCTTTCTGACGAGTCTCTGATTGTCCCATCTCTCCCATCGCAGGATCCCGAGGAGGAAGAACTGGCTCTTTCATCTTTACATATTCCAGACACTAGGGTGCAAGGGCATAGAGAGCAGCTTAGCCAGACAAGGGACCCAGGTAAGGGGTAACTGTGTCTTCCTCTGCATTCTGCCTGCCTGTGTGCCTGCCCAGAGTCCCCATCTGCAGACCCCCTGAATTATAGTTTAGCAGGATCGCTTCCTGTTTGTTTCTGGCCCCGGGTGATGTGTGGTTCTCTTTCTGAAGGTGCAGAGGCGGCTGCACTCCCAGAGATGGGGGCGCTCATTGCCAACCCTCCCAGGCTGCCAGAGGCCTTGCTGGAATCAACCCACATCCTTCCATCCTCCCAGGGACACAAGGTAGTGATGGATATATGTAGAAATATTTGGTAGAATAGTGCAGGGTGGAAGAGCATGGGGATATGTAAGTGCTCCCAAATCAGGACTTTAGGGAAATGACAGGATTCCTGTTTGGAGCAGGTGACTTGCTCTGGCAGTGAAGTCCCTGGGAATGTCATTTTTTTTAAAAAATTTAAGTTTAATTTATTATTATTATTTTATGTTTATTGGTGTGAGAGTCAAATGCCCTGGAACTGGAGTTACAGACAGTTGTGAGCTGCCATGTGAGTGCTGGGAACTGAACTCAGGACCTCTGGAAGAGCAGCCAGTGCTCTTAACCGCTGAGCCATCTCTCCAGTCCCGGAACGTCATTAAGGATATATAGTATTTAGATGTTTTGTATGATGACCCCTACTCTGTGTTCAGCAGGATCTCTCCCACTGGGACAAGGTCAAGGTCCTGCTCAATCGGATCCGCTGGAGGAGCCCTCGACTCCCTGAGCCTCCTGCCCCTCCTGATAGTTCTGGACCCAGGTGAGTCTTGTGCCTGGTCCAGGTTAAGGTAGTAGGGGAGAGGCTGATGGGCCAGGATGTTGATAGTGTTCTGTCCTGACAGTCGTCATCTTAGTCCCTTGGGAATTTGTGAGACAAAGTGTTGGAGAAGCTGCTCCAAATAACAAAAGCAAGTTGAGATGCCCCATCTGTTGGTAAGAAGGCTAGATAAGGTTAGGGACAGTGGCTTTCCCAAAGCCACAACCCGATTACGGGGCATATCTTTATCTTTACCTGCCAGGCCCTTACTCCTTAACACTGAGATTTAGGGGATGGTGAGGTAGGCACAGAGGTAAAGTATTTCTCTGTGGGTGAAGCCTGGTATGTTTGGAGGCCTGTTCTTTAGGGAGAAGCACCACTTTAACAATCCTATCTCCTCCTCAGAAAGGAAACAAGGCTTTACAGCTCTGGTTTCTTTCTTCTGCTCTAACTTCTTTTTTTTTAATTTAATTAATTAATTAATTTATTATGTACACAATATTCTTTCTGCGTGTATGCCTGCCGGCCAGAAGAGGGCACCAGACCTCATTACAGATGGTTGTGAGCCACCATGTGGTTGCCAGGAATTGAACTCAGGACCTTTGGAGAAGTAGGCAATGCTCTTAACCACTGAGCCATCTCTCTCCAGCCCCCTACTCTAACTTCTTCTTCTTTTTTTTTTTTTTTTCAGGATGGAGTTCAGGAACCTTTCTGAAAGGACTCAGTACCACTCCCACCGGAAGACCTTTATCCCAACATTGGTGATTAAGAAACCACGAGCAAAAAACCTTTCTGTATGATCTCTTGGTGTGCCTGGTGACCTTAGGTGGAGAGAATTTGCCATGAAGTCCCTCACCTTTTGGTTTACTGCTGTGTCTCTGCACTGCCAGGAAAGGCTATTTGGGCTTGTTCCTTTTCAAGATGACGGCAGAGTCCTTCTCTAAGCAGCATGGCCAAGGAGCCCTGGTTCCCTGCGAGAGGCTCAAGTGCAGTTCTGGCCATTTTCGAGGGTTCTTACTCCTTGTCAGAAATCTCTGGGCTCAGACAATGTGAATGGACTTATTTATCAGGTGCTCCCAGAGCGTGGTTAGTATGGTAATGTGCCAGCATGTTGCAGGTGTATGTTTATGCAATCTTTGTTGGACTGTCAACTGCCTGGATTCAGTCTTCTGGCGGAATCACGCATCCAAAGGGCTGGTGCTTTGGGTGTGACTGTGGAAGGACGGGCACAGATCTTCATTCTGCAACAGACAGTTACCGATGTGGATTTCCAATTTCTTCCTCATATCTGAGATGGCAGACCTGGGACAGAGAACAACGCTGCCTTGGGTAACTTTGTATTGAGTCATGGCTCTGGAGCACAGCCTGTGAAGACTGAATGAGCAATGGGGGGGGCGGGGTCGATCAAGCACAATGTGAAGAATAGCAAATAACTTTCAAGGTCAATTCTAAGTTGCTGTGTTCTATCCTGGAGTTTAGACCATGGCAATGTCTCCTAATTTGTGAACCACAACTTCCTACTTGGGATGATGCCTGCCTTACCTACCTCATAAGCTTGTTAGGAGGATAAAGTGACATTAAACTCTCTCAATGTGTGTTGTGACTGTTAAGTGCATAGGAAAGGGTGCACTCTTGGAGGCAGACAGGAGTGGAATGAGGGAGGTCAGAGGTTAAGGGAGGGTGACTAGATTTCTGGCAAGCGTTTGGGTAAAGTCATTTCATTGAGATCTAGTATGTTTCATATTTGAGAATTTGGACATGAATTTCTGTTCTGTTGCTGGTGGTGCTGTCAATAGAAGGACAGGGATAGGGATGGGGGGTCACTGGCTTAAGTCAGGCAGAAGAATGCCTGCTCGAAATAGCCCCTGAGTGGGCATGCTCCTCTTCCAGTCTTTTGCTGTAGTTTTGGGGGTTGATAGAGCACAGCAGGTGTGTAAGTAGTGGTCCCTTCCTTGTATTTGACGGAGGGGTCTAGTTCCAGTTGCTTTGGAACCAGGAACCAATGCTCCGAAGCCTACTTTCCTAATGGGACACTTGAGCGAGGACACCACTGAGCTCGGCTTCCGAATGCATTATCAGATCTGGGAAGGCGCACTTCCGTTCCACAGTTGGAGCGGGATGGCTGACTGGCGTGGGGGAAGGGAGAGGTCGATGGAGAAGAGGGAGGTACCATATCCGGGAGAGTGGCAGCTTCCGACCAGTGGTCGCTCTTCCGGAGAGGCGTTTCCGGTGGTGGTGGCAGCAGCGGCTGCGGTGGTTCCGGGTGTCTTTGTCCCCCTGGTGTCGTGGCCCTGGCCCGCAGGTGGGTTGGGGGCCTCCCGCCGCGCCTCTGCCTCTCCGTCTCTCCCGGGTGGCGAGGCTGCAGGGGTCTGATCAGCGAAGATGTGCCAGCCGGGCGGAAAGAGCCGAACCCCACTCCGGACTGCAAGCTCCGTCTCCCTGGCAACGGCCTCGGCCCTGGGGGCGGGCGGGAGGAGGAGAAACCTCGCGCCGTGGTCCTCCCACGGTGGCCTCTCGGTGGCCCGACCGGAAGGCTCTGCGCAGGCGACTGCGGAGGCCGGAGCGAGGGTCTGGACCTAGGAGGAGGGAGCGGCTTGCAGGCCGCTTGGCGAGGGCCGGCTGGACAGCTCCCTTCTCACCAGCCGGTCCGAGAGAGGACGACGGGCGGGCTTCCGGGAGAGGGCCCGCATCACCTCCCCGCTACTCGCACCTCCATTTTTTCCGGGCCCTGCGTGGAGTGTTTTGGCGGATGTTTTTGAATGAATGAATGTCATCGGAGCTCTTCCAGCCCCTCACTCCGCCAGCCTCTCTAAGGGTGCCAGTGGCATAGTGAAACGAGTGCTAAGTTGTTGGGAGACCTGGGTGTGAGTCCTGCTCTGTCACTACCTGGTTTTGTAGCCTTGGGCAAGTCTCCTGATCTCAAAGCTCCAGTTTCCTTCCCTGAAAACCAGCATGTCACTAGCCCCCCACCGTTAGGTTATAGTCAGATCAAACTGGAGTAACTGTAATTATCCATTTCATTTCCTCTACATTCTCCATTCCTCCATTTTAGGACCCACCTCCTCATCTTAAAAGCTTTACTTCATTAAGATTTTCCAGGTAATAGATGGGAGCTTTCCATTTGAGCTGTTAACGTCTTTCTTTTTCGATTGAAGGTTTCCCAAGACCTTGAAAGGACAGCATTCCCAATGTCCCAGTTTAAGCGCCAGAGGATCAACCCACTTCCAGGGGGACGAAACTTCTCAGGTGCTTACCTTCCTTACAGGGAACTGGACTCAGTTCCCAAAAATAATGGTTCCTGGGTGTTTCCCTGAGTGTCTGAGGAGCTGGCTGGAGTCACTTTGACCTCTGGGTTTACAGGATCCTCTGGTTGTCTCTAGTGTTTAGGGTGGGTGAGTGCAGTTTCTGGAGCTTGCTTCTCTTTCCCCATAGGCGCGGCTTCAACATCTCTTTTGGGTCCTCCTCCTGGTTTGCTTACTCCTCCTGTGGCCACAGACCTGTCCCAAAATGCCAGGCACCTTCAGGTATGTTGGGTGCCCTTTCTAGTGAGTTTCTCTTTGTGGACTATCCTGGTATGTTTGGGTATCTGGTGTGTGTTCTCTCTTGTGTTACAGTTATCAACATCCCTGGGTTTTTTGTTTTGTTTTGTTTTGTTTTTTTGTTTTTTCCTTTTCTGGTTGTAGACCAGGGCCGGGGAACTCAGACACCTTTTTGACTGGGGAGTTTTTAGTATCTGCCAGCACCAGAGAGATCTTCTGGTGCCTTTTAGGATTAAAGAACTGAAAATCCTAGAAGCATGAACACGAAGAATTAGTTTCTCTCCTCTTCATAGATAGGCTGTGTCCTCTGTGTTTCTTTCCATGTGAAGTTTTGTGTGATAACTTGAGCTGGGGCCTGGTGGCTAGAGGAGAGGCCCTCGTGGCAGAGCATAGTTTTGTTCAGATGGCTTCCTTTGCTTTTGATCTTCTGTCTTCTCTTGCAGGGTGGGGAGAAGCAGCGGGTCTTCACTGGCATTGTTACCAGCTTGCATGATTACTTTGGGGTGGTAGATGAAGAAGTCTTTTTTCAGCTAAGGTAGGTTTGAGGCTCCTCTCTTCTGGGGAAGAGATGGTTCTTGAGTTCAGTTCTATCTCCATGCTGGTGGGCCTGCTCTTTAATGCCATTGCTTTGCTAATTTACTGCAAGGTGAGAAATCTCCATGGGAAGAGCATTGAGGAGGGGCAGTCAGGGTAGCTCGTCCTAGGGCCCACCTGATGAGGCCCCCTTGTTTGTGTACTGGCAGTGTGGTGAAGGGTCGGCTCCCCCAGCTGGGTGAGAAGGTGCTGGTGAAGGCTGCATATAACCCCGGCCAGGCCGTGCCCTGGAATGCCGTCAAGGTGCAGACACTCTCCAACCAGGTATTTATCTCCCCTTAGCATGTGCACCGAAAAGGGGAGGGAGAGAAGAAGTTTTGTACCCTGGCTTTTGGGCACAGTCCTTCCTTTTATTGAGGGGTGGGATGGCTGTCTTTCCATGGTATCAATGTTGGGATCCCCTGAACTTCATGGCTGTTTTCCCTCAGCCCCTACTGAAGTCTCCAGCACCCCCACTTCTGCATGTGGCAGCTCTGGGCCAGAAGCAAGGGATCCTGGGAGCTCAGCCACAGTTGATCTTTCAGCCTCACCGAATTCCCCCACTTTTCCCTCAGAAGCGTGAGTACTGGTGACATGCATGTTGGGGTGTGACTGTATGGGGTACTTTTGAGGAAAGGACTTATTACTTTAATATAGATGCTCTCGGAACAGAAGGGGTTACTTTGGGACACAGGAAGAGGAGGAGGAAGCTCGACGGGGTCTTAGGGCTTTTAAGTCACCAGCCATTTCCTTTCTTCAGCCCTGAGTCTCTTCCAGACATCCCACACACTTCACCTGAGCCACCTGAACAGGTTTCCTGCCCGGGGTCCTCATGGCAGACTGGACCAGAGCCGCAGGTGAGAGAATTAATGGGTGGGGTAGAGGCTCCATTTCATTCCTCTAGGAGCCATGTCCACCTTTGACAACTGTTGACACTGATACCCTTTTCTGTGGATAGACACAGTCCCTTGTCTTTGGAAGGCAGATACATTGAGGCATATGTACGCATGCAGCAGCTTTATATACTACCTCAGCAAAGTTGAAACTCAATACAGTTCATATTCCAAAATGTCACATTGAGAGTTTTTGTTGTTTTGCTTGCCTGCCTAGTGATGGGATTGTTGGGGTGTTTGCCCACACCTGCCCAGCTGAGATACTTTATTTTGAAACAGGTCTTATGTAGCTTGGCTGGCCTTGAACTCAGTATATAGCTAAGGATGACCTTGAACTCCTGATCCTCTTCTACGCTGGGTTTTCAGGTGTGCACCACCTAGGTTGCTTATTTTCATTTTTCAGTATGGTTTTGAGATACTTTGTGTGTGTGTTTTCTATGAATTTGTATGGACATGTGTTCAGGCGTATGTGGAGCTAGGAGGCTGATGGGTATGTTTACTCTATTGGTTATTGTTTGTGTTAGAGACTGTCTCACTGGAGCTCACCCTTTTGGCTAGGTTAGCTGGCCAGCAAGGTCTAGAGATCCTCCTGTCTGCCCCTTTCAGTGCTGGAATTGCAACTGTTTCACAACATCGCCTTAGCTCCTGTTTCCTTTTGTTTCTAGTCTTTAACATAGAGCTGTAAGAGTTGTTACAAGAATTGTTACAAGAAAACAGTAACATCAAAGAAAGGAATGTTGCAGAATGTTTTAGCTCTTAATTTAAATGGCTTCTATGAAGTATATTTTATCTAACAGTGTTACAATACACAGGCTGCAGTGTTTTCGAAAGTTCAGGCTTTGTCCTGTACACATAGCTTTCTTGACCCTCTTGTAGAGCAAGCATGGTTGATTCAGGCTCTTGAGATTTCCTGTGGTCCTTCATCATCTGCAAATTTTGGGGGTTTCCAGGAGCGTACTCAATGTATCTTAAGTTCACACCTCCTTTGTGTTTATTGTTCTTGAGAGGTTTTGCTCATCCTTTTGGTTTTCTTTTCGAGACATGGTTTATCTGTGTAACATTTCTGACTGTCCTGGAATTTACTTCGAAGACTAGGCTGGCTTTGAACTCACAGTGATCCATCTGCCTCTGCTTCCTGAGTGCTGGCATTAAGAGTGTGTGCCACCACTGCCCGGCGATTTTGTGCAGCTTCTTGGAATAGAAAATTCAATATGTGGGAAGGAAATGGAAAGATTAAATCTTCACACTATCACTTGATTTCAACAAGTAGTATTATCTGCCTTTCTTTATTTCTGTTGCACATTTATCTCCTTGTTGCCTTGTTTTGTTTTTTGATAAAAATCTTCAAGTAAAACTGAGTTAAATTGAAATGTCAGAATCTTGACATTTTTTGTTTGTTTTCAAGACAGGATTTCACTATGTATAGACCTGGTTGTCTTGGAACTTGCTCTGTAGACCAGACTGGCCTCGAACTCAGAGATCCGCCTGCCTCTGCCTCCCGAGTGCTGGGATTAAAAGCATGTGCCACTACCACCTGGAATTTGACTATATGTTTTTGATCTCATAGCACTCCGCCCCCATAAGATCAATG